GTACTTACCAGGCTCCAGTCATTTGAGACTTCCCTTCTGGAGTTCCGTCATACTCTACCCACCTGTATTATTATTAATATTTTTCTTCAACTCGCTTTTTGAACTTCAGATTATAAGACTGATGTGCTGCTTACTGTGCTAAGAGGGCTTCCTCACTTTTTGAACTTCTGAAAACACATATCTTAGAGGAAACTTTATATCTGAACCATAACATAAAACTTATCAGCTGGGCACAGTGGCTCATGCCTGTAATCCCAACGCTTTGGAAAGCTGAGGCAGGTGGATCACTTGAGCCCAGGAGTTTGAGACCAGCCTGGGCAACATGGCGAAACCCCATTTCTACTAAAAATACAAAAATTAGCCAAGCATGGTGATGCACACCTGTAATCCCAGCTACTCAGGAGGCTGAGGTGGGAGGATCTCGAGCCCAGGAGGTGGAGGCTGCAGTGAGCTGAGATCCCACCCTGCACTGCAGCCTGAGCGACAGAGCCACACCATCTCAAAAACAAACAAAACAAAACAAAAAAATGGGTATCACGTGCCTGCCATAAAAGTAAAAATAAAAACAATGAAACAACAACAGAAAATGTTTTTAAATCTAGCTAGCTGCTGTTGCCTGCCTACCAGAGGCTCTGCAGAACCCATCCTGCTCTCAGGAAGCAAGTTAGACAAGTGTTCCTTCTCTGGGGCATTCTTGTTTAAATTAAAGAGGGTTGAAAGAGAACTGAAAAAACCTGAATCTTCTCATAAACCAAGGCATTGTGATTTAACATGGGCATCTGGCTGCCTCTGAAATTGTCTTTGGAAACCACTATATTCTTGTACCTGGGGCAGTGTAGAGAGCCAACAGGGTTAACTGGTGTCTGCCAAGCAGCTAGTGTATGATGGAAACCGTTCAGCCACTTCCTCATTCTACAGCACAGCCCTCCAAGATGGGTGTTCTGTAGCTCCAGTTTACAGATGAGCAGACTGGGGCTCAGAGAGGCAGTGGGACTTGGCCAGAATCTCGCAGCCAGGAAGTGACGAGGCTGGAATCAGGAGCTGTTTCTGCCTGACCTTTATTGTTACCCTCTGCAAGCAGGACTTGCTCTCCTCTCTCGTGCCTGCATCAGCCACATCTGTCCGAAGCGCCGGAATTCCTTCCAGAACAGGACTGAGTTTGCTGGAGCTGTGGTTCTTTGTCACTACTGACGGAACCTAGGACAGTCCTGGAAGCAGAAGTGGAATGGTTTCTCGGCCACAGGTCACTTTTCACTGGTAGTCAAGGCCATCCCAAATGAAACGGGCCATCATCAAAGCATCCAGCCCTGCCTTTTATTACTAACTTGACTTCTTTTATGGTTTGGGGGTTTGGTTTGGCTTTTACTTCCGAGGAATAGCTCAAAACCAGAAGAGAACTTGGCATCATCGGGAGGTTTCCATGGGCATCGTTGTCCCTTCCCCTTCTGGTCCATTTGGGGCCTCTGCCCATCCTGGGAGGCCCCCTCCAGACAGAGACAGTGACCACCTCCAGGCATGGTGCCCCACACCCACCCAGCTCTCCTCTAACAGAGACACACGGCCAGCTCCGGGCTGTTTCCTCATGTTATTTAGGGTCTCCCCAGCACTGTCTAGACACAGAGGGAAGGTGGAGGAGGAGGAACAGCTGCCACCCTGCTGCCTTTTGTGGATTTAAGGTACAGGTTTGCAGTCGGCCTTTCCTGAACTCTCAAGTCCAACCCACCTCACCAGAGCCTCCATTTCCCCATTTCTTAAATGGGCCAGCCTTCCCAGGGTTACATAAAGTGACACAGATGAACACATTTCAGGAGCCACCCAGTGCTGAGCCAAGGTCGGGGGAGTGCTGTTATTGCAGTCTTGGGGGGAGCCACAAGATATTTGCACACAAAGCAGCCAGGACACACCACAGTCCAGCATATAATCAGCTCCTTCATGATGTGGCTCCAACTGCAAGGGCTGCAGGATTTCAGAGGAGAAATAGGCCCATGGGGAGCGAGGAGCAGACAGCAGCTCATCCTGGCCAAGAGAATGACCACTCACTGCTCTAACCAGAAAATGAAGGAGGACCAGAAACAGGAGGTTGGGGAGGGAAGGCCTGTCCTGTCTCTGGGACTTCCTGCTTCAGCTCTGGAAACAGTCGGTCCTTAATGATTTGCTGCAGAGCAGGAGCTACTTAAAGGCTAATGTTAAAAATCAGTGACCCTTTTAGTCACCCTTCAGAAGGATGGAAGGATGGACAGTGACCAGGGAAGGTGCCCTGTTAAGCCATCCACATCCCTCAAGATGTGTTTTTCCATTTTGAGTCTGGAGCAGATCGCACCTTGGGGGAGCTGGCTTAAAGTTGGAGCCTGACTCAAAGTCATGTAGGATTGGCAATCCAAGTGTCCATCGACAGGTGAATGATAAGCAAAAGGTGGTTTTACAATGGAATATTACTCAGCCTTTAAAAGGAAGTGTTGACGCCTGCTACAAGCATGAACCTTGAATGGATGAGCATGCTGAACGACAGCAGCCAGACACAAAAAGATAAACACTGTATGATTCCACTTACATGAGCTACCTGGAATCATCAATCCCTAGAGATAGAAGGTAGAATGGTGGTCCCCAGGGGAAGGGTGGAAGGGTAGTTGTTATTTAATGGGTACAGAGTTTCAGTTTTGCAAGAAGAAAAGTTTCTGTGGATGGATGGCGGTGCTGGTAGCACAGCAGTGTGAATGTGTTAAATGCACTGTAACAGCACACTTGAAAATGGTTAAGATGGTAAACTTTTTTACTGTGTGTACTTACCACAATTTAATTTTTTTAATGGGAGAAATAACATGTAGGGTCAAAATATCCCCGAAGCCCAGTAAAAGGTACCACACTGGAGACTCTGTTCATCTCTCCATTGGTCCATGAGAGCCCAGGACTGCTGCAGGGTTGATCACTTTGGGAGCTGGGTGGTGAGCTGTTAAGGGCTGATTATATAGAAAATGCAAGACACATTCTCTTCTAGCCCAGACTCCAAACTCAGGCTCAGCATGGTGAGAAGGCACAGGAGAGGCACCAGGAAACTGAGGCTCTCTAGGAGAGAAGAGTCCAGCCTTATGCAGAGCATGCACTGCCTGGGTGGCCTAGCTGAGAGAATCACCTGTGCAATTCATGCATATGCACGTGTGCTGTCTGCACAGGTGTTTGCAACAGAATGTATGCATGAACCACCTGAACCACCCTCAGATCTGCATCCTCATTACCCTGGTCCAGGACCTGGGCCAAACAAGGCTTAAGTAAATATTTGTTAAACTGAGCTGTTTGTTTATGATGGCCATGTCTGAGTTTCAGATCCCTTAATGAGCAGAGTGTACCCTGTACTTCTCTTGTATTTGGCACAGAAACTAGCAAAGTACTGGGCACAAAGAAATTGCTCATGGAGGCTGGGCATGGTGGCTCACGCCTGTAATCCCAGTACTTTGGGAAGCCGAGGCAGGCAGATCTCCTGCGATTGGGTTCAAGACTAGACTGACCAACATGGTGAAACCCTGTCTCTACTAAAAATACAAAATTAGCCAGGCGTGGTGGTGCATGCCTATAATCCCAGCTACTCGGGAGGCTGAGGCAGAAGAATTGCTTGAACCCGGGAGGCGGAGGTTGCGGTGAGCCGGGATCGCACCACTATACTCCAGCCTAGGTAACAGAGCGAGACTCCGTTTCAAAAAAGAAAAAAGAAAGAAAGAAAATGCTCATTGAAACATTGAATGAATACCTGCTAGTAGATAAACCAGCTTTGTAGAGGGCTACTTTGTGCCCTCCACCTACCCTCTGTCCAACCTATTGCCAGACACACTCGAGGCTCTGTGACACAGCCAGTGAGTCACTGGGGCAGATTAATGTGGACTTTGGCTAATGGAAGATCTATTTCAACCCCTCATTAACTTGGAGACTTTGAACCTCTCTCCAAATCATAAAACAGTCCCTTCACTTTAATGCTTCAGATTCGTGAGTTAAGACATATATGTGAGCATGTTGGAAATAACCTAAAGATTCACCAGTAGACAACTAGTTGAATAAAGTGTGATACAGCTATAGATAGACATCCAATATCCAGTATGGATATTATAGAAGAATAATGATATGTGTCAGGTGCCTGTAATCCCGGTACTTTGGGAGGCTGAAGTGGGTTGATCACTTGAGGCTGGGATTTCGAGACCAGCCTGGTCAACATGGTGAAACCCCGTCTCTACTAAAAATACAAAAAAAAATTAGCCGGGCATGGTAGCACATGCCTGTAATCCCAGCTACTTGGTAGGCTGAGGCACAAGAATTGCTTGAACCCGGGAAGCAGAGGTTGTGGTGAGCCGAGATCGCGCCATTGCACTCCAGCCTGGGTAACAAGAGCAAAACTCCGTCTCAAAAAAAAAAAAAAAAGAATAATGAAATGTCATGAAGTTGACAATTTATAGCTCAGTGAAAGCATCAGTTTACAAAATAGCATGTACAGTATGGTCTGATTTTGCCTAAATGTGGACATACTACTTAAACAAATATACTGTGACGTGTGTGTGTGTGTGTGTGTGTGTGTTTTCCCCAAACCAGCAGTATCACCAGGGAACTTTTTTAGAAATGCATATTCTCAGGCCCCTCCACAGAACTACTACATCAGAAACTCGGGTGGGGCTCCACGATCTGTGTTTTAACAAGCCCTCCAAGTGATTCTGGTGCCTCCCTGGGTTTGAGAGCACTGGTGTATAGCATTCCTAACACCCCTCTTTTTCCTTTGCTTTTTGGTTGTGTGTGTGTGTGTGTGTGTGTGTGTGTGTGTGTGTCTATCTGTTGGAGACAGAGTCTTCCTCTGTCACCTAGGCTGGAGTGCAGTGGCATGATCTCCACTCGCTATAACCTCCGCCTCCCAGATTCATACAATTCTCTTGCCTCAGCCTCCCAAATAGCTGGGATTACAGGTGTGCACCACCACGCCCAGCCCTCTCGCCTCCTTTGCACTCACCTGCCTCTCTCTTCTCCAGGCCCTCATCCAGCTGCCCCCCTACATCTCTCAGTGTGATGAGGTACTGCAGTTCTTTGAGACAAGACCTGAAGACCTGAATCCCCCTAAAGAGTAAGTTTGTTTGTGGGCTTCCCCAGATGGAGCCCCACAGCCCTCCTCCTGCCAGGCCAGCCACCCCCAAGTAAAGCGAATTGCAGCCCAAAGTGGCTTTCATCAGCCAAGCCCCTGTGAGGCCACACTTCGCGTAGCCTTCAGAGTTACTGTAAGTGGATCGTAAGTGTCCCGTTTGACAGGTGAAGGCAACTGGCTGAGTGCCACTCCTGTCATTTCATAATACTCTGCACCTGCCCTCAGCACTTATCAAGGTGTGTCAGAACTGGGCAGACTGAGCCTGCGAGGCAGGGGCTGAGCCGTAGATTCATCTAGCTTCTGTCCACAGAGGTGGGTGTACTCAGGAACTGCCGGGGGTGTGAATGCAGGAGCAAACCAAACCGACGATGATCCCATTGCCAGCAAGTGACAGGGCCAGGATTTCATCCTGCTCAGCCAGGCTCCAAAGCTGTCCCAAATGTCCACCACAGCCCTGCCTCCCTGTCGCTTCTCCCTACAGTGGACAGGCCACATGCCCAGATGCCTGGGCACACCACATAAAACCCAAGCACTACCTGCCTACCTGCACTTAAACACCAACACCCTGGCTGGCCTGAAACACTGACATACGCATGGTGCTTTGGGGAAAGCAGGAAGGGATCTGGCTAATGGAGAAATGGCAGTGGGGAAAAGAGACCTGCCCACGGTGTGGGAGTGTCCTGGGGTCACAGGAGCAAGAGTGGGCAGAGTTTGGGGTCCGTCCGGGCTCGTTTGAGAAGGGCTAAAAAGTGCCAGCCAGGCTCTGTTCCAGAAGTAGGCACAGCCACTCTTAGCCCTGTGCTCGCTGGATGCCCCAGGCAGCAGCCATAACCAAGGCTGAGTTTGCAGAACAGCCAGCATGGCGGGCAGTGTGTTGAGCACCTACATGTATCGAGAGAGAAAGACATGTGCTGCCTTTGGAAATGATCTGCTGGAGTCACAAAAATTTTTTAAATAGACTCGTGAGGGGAAAGCATCATAGTGTTTTAACACGTGAAGTCAGGTCATTTATAATTTATACATACACACAGTGACCTCCAAAATCAAGTTCTCAGGCCACAGATCTCCGAGTGCACCACTCAGGATGGATGGTTTGCTAGCACACAGCTGAGTAGACCTAAGTTCCTGCAAAAATATATTCCAGTATGCACCATTTCCTGTGATGAGCACGGATCAAGTAAATACAGCTTCTCACAGTGAGTGCACAGAAGCGCGTGGTTTTGGAGTCAAGGGAGACATTCTGTAAGAGGCAACAGTAACCCTTTGAATCACACATCACAAGGGAATGTCGTGCCAACGCAGGAGCCAAGACATGGTTTCATAAATTTAAAAATAATCATAAAGATACAGAATATAAATCTGATCATTTGGGATGTTAAGCTCATGCTGGCTAATGTTTTCATTCTTAGTGTCTTTGGCGTTGGTATCTGGTGAGCGTTTCCCAACTTGTATTGCCATCAGGAAATATGGGGAAACATTCTCAGACCACCTTTGTCTACGGTCCTCCCGGGTTTGCAGGAGTGAACTGCCATTCAGGCTCTTAGCCTCTGGCTTCAATGATAATTTCTGCACAAGGTGAATCAAAGGATACAGAGCTCATTGTGTTCCCTTTCCACTTCATTTTCTCACAAAACTGCCAGATAAAAACTGTCATTCCCTCATGCTTGTAATCCTAGCACTTTGGGAGACTGAGCCAGGAGGATTGCTTGAGCACAGGAGAGACTAGCTTGAGCAACATAGTGAGACCCTGTCTCTACTAAAAATCAAAAAAATTAGCCAGGCATGGTTGCATAGTGCCTAGTCCCAGCTACTCGGAGGCTGAGATGGGAGAATTGCTCCAGCCAAGGAGGTCAAGGCTGCAGTGAGCAGTGATCGCTGCCACTATAGTCCAGCCTGGGCAGCAGAGGAGACTCTGTCTCAAAAACAAAAACAGAAAACCTGTCATTCCTCACTTACAGATGAGGCAGCTGAGGTTAAGAATGATAAAAGAGACTTTTAACAAAATAATAATGAAAGAGAGGCACAGTTTGGAAGAGGTGAAGATGAATTTTCCCTGTGTCAGTCTGAGTCTGAACCTAAGCTCAGTCCCACACAAGAGGCTTACTTAATAGAAAAGAACTTGAGTTTGGAATCTAGTACGCCCAGTTTCAAATCCCGCCTCTACCACTCCTGAGCTGTGTGGTGTGAGCCTCCCTCGCTTTGCTTCTGGGCTTCCACACTTGCTCCATTGTGAAATGGGAGTAGCTGTACTTTTTAGGGTGATGGCGAGGACTGAGTGACTGTCACAGGGAAAAATTCTAAGGCCATGCCAGCTGCTCAGGAGGTGGCAGCTCATGGTGCTGCCCCTCTCAGAATGTCCAGACGTTGCTGTCTTTATTCCAGCACTGTCTCTTAAGAGTTGATCAAGATGCCCAGCCTGATACATCCTCGGCAGGAAGAGTTGCCTGACTACTGTCTTAGTTTGTTCCACCTGCTATGACAAAAATACCACAGACTGGTGGCTTAAACAACAAAAATGTATTTCTCACTTTCTGGAGGCTGGAAGTCCATGATCAAGGTGCCAGCTATTTCAGTGCCTGGTGAAGGCCACTTCCTGGTTTGCAGATGTGTCCCCACATGATAGAGATAAAAAGAGAGAGAGAGAAAGTCAGCTCTCTTATGTCTCCTCTTTTTTTTTTTTTTTTTTTTTAATTTTTTGTAGAGACAGGGTCTGGCTATGTTGCCCAAGCTAGTCTGACACTCCTGGGCTCAAGTGATCCTCTTACCTTCATGTCTCTTCTCATAAAGGCACTAATCCCATCCTGGGGCTCCATCTTTATGACCTAATTACCCACCAAGGCTCCATCTCCAAGCACCATCACACTGGGGTTTAGGGTTTCCACATATAAACTCATTTGTAGGAGCCACTTTCAAACTGGGTGAGCTTGAGCAGGTCTTTCCACCCCTTGCCTCAGTCTCCTCTTATGTAAGATGGGCCTGATGACACCTCCCTCACAGCATTGCTTGGGGAATCAAATGAGATGTAGAGGAAAGCACTTGGGACGTGCTCTACAGACCTGATTGCCCAAGGGCAGGGAAAGGAGAAAACATCAGCCGTGAGAGTAGTATTGAGTTCCATGGACCCCTGGATTCAATGATAGCCAGATTTTTTTCTCCCTTATCTCAGTGTCCCAGAGACTTTAACTTTGGGGGGCATGATGGACCACTCAGAGATTCCAGCAAAAGCTTTCTTCCCTTTTCCTGAAACAGCACCTGCAGTTTCAGGAGGTCCTCATTTGTGCAGAATCTTGTACATGGACCTGAAGCGAAGCAGCCCAGCCCTGGCAGCCCTTCCAAATGTTAGTGCTAGGATGGCTTTGGCCTCTCCCTGGCGAAGGTGGTTTCAGTGGCCCCAGTCTCGGAGCAAGCATCAGACCAACTTACACATATAGAGGGGAGAGGGCCAGGCCAGGGGCAGCTGCCTTGCTTGGGAGGAGTCTGGTCATCTTCAGGAAGGTAGGACACTCTGGGACACGGGGCGGGAGCCAGCCCTTAAGAGGAGGTGGGAAGTCCCGGAGGCTGCATGGTGGCTTTGTTGCACTCTCTGGCTTCCTCTCTTTGGTGGCAGAGGCAGCCCCGCTAGCTTGCTGGCTGGGCTTGTAGAAACAGCGCAGGACAGGATTTCCCAGCCCATGCAGCATCCAGCCAAGGCCACTGGCTTTGTTCTCCATTCAGCAGCAGATGAGGAGGGCCTGCTGACTTCCACAGCGGTGGGAAAGGCAGTGGGAAAGGTGGCGTGAACATGCGGGTACACAGGCACCCATGCATACACAAATAGAACATCCACTAAAAATACAAAACATAGCCTAGGCTGTACCAAAGAAAGTGCCAAGTAGCAGCTGAGCTAAGCTAGCAAGCATCATGCTGGAGTATATGTGTCTGGTTCTGAGCCTTCCTGGAAAGAAAGGGAAAGTTCAAATCTCTTTGTCCCTTCCCAGTTGTGTGACCTCGGACAAATGACTTGACTTCTCTGAGCTTATTTCCTTATCAGTAAAGTGGGTGCCACTACCCTGGCTCACAGCTTTGTTGTGAGGACTAAGCAAGATTCAGCCCATAAAGGATGGTGTCTGGCTCAGGACAGGTGCTTACCTAGTGATGCCTTCCTGTCTTTAAGCCAGGATTTGAAAAGGAAGTAAGGTGGGGAGGTTGCCAAGGGCCCAAGAGCCACAGCAGGCAGTCTCAGCTGGGCCCTGGTTGTTGGTTTAGGGATAGTGAACTTGAGCGTTATACTCAGTGGAGTTGTTCTCTTGGTCAGGATCCTGAAGCTCATCCCATGTTAGGGCTTGAGATGGATTTTGGGGGTCTTTCCTAAACAGCTGGTGCTATTGGAGGAGGGTTTTGGCTGCCATAAATAGGAAAACTTGGGAACACCCCAAGCATGTCACACCAAGAAGATGACGCACCTGCTTGAGCGAACTTATGCCAAAGCTGCCTGAACGCTAGAGTCTCCTGCCATCCCCATTCCTCTGCTCTGCCTGAGACAATAGAAGCAGGGGTGTGTGGCCAGTAAGAGCCCAATACTTAAGCCTAGACCACGGCTCAGCTCACAGGCCTGGACGGCAACTCCCGCGGCTGGTGCTTTCTGTGGAAGCAGCCTGGAGGAGCCTTGGTTAGTGCATCTTGGAACAGCAGCCCAGGGGGGAACTTCAGTCACTAGACGGTCCAGGTGGTGGTCAGGAGAGTGGGCTCCAGCCAGACTTCCTGGGTTCCAGTCTTGGGCCTCAGACCTCACCTCTCTGGGCCTCAGTATCTCCATCTGCAAAATAGAGTAATCTTCAGAGGGAAGTGTGAGGATGTAGTGAGTCAGCCCAGATGTAGCTTTCTGACCAGAACCCAGTGAGTGCCAGTGAAGGTGGGCTAGGACATACACTCTGATCCTCACCCTCTCCTTACGGGCGCTGTGAAGGTCAACCACAGGGATATAATGCCTGGAGGGAGGACATCACCACCGCCCCAGCCCAACCGGACCAGACTCTGCTGTGCCTCCCAGACATACGGGAGGAGTGAAGCCCCTGGCTCTTGGGCTTGGCTTAGCTCCCTCCTGCTCTCTCCCAGGTTGCTCCAAACCATTATTACTTGGTGGTTAAAAAGCCAGACATTGAATAGATGCTTCTCCAAAGAAAATGCACAAATAGCCAATAAGCATGAGATGAGACTTGCATCATTATCCATCAGGAAATGCAAATCCAAGCTCAGTGAAATATCACTAGATGTAATTCACATCCACTAGAACGGCTGTAATCAAGAGGACAAATAGGCTGGGCATGCTGGCTCGTACCTGTATTCCTAGCACTTTGGGAGGCCAAAGCAGGTAGATCACTTGAGGTCAGGAGTTTGAGACCTGCCTGGTCGACATGGTGAAACCCCATCTCTACTACAAATACAAAAATTAGCCAGATGTGGTAGGCGCCTGTAATCTCAGCTACATGGGAGCCTGAGGCAGGAGAATCATTTGAACCCAGGAGGTGGAGGTTGCAGTGAGCTGAAATCATGCCACTGCACTCCAGCCTGGGAAACAGAGCGAAACTCCATCTAAAAATTTAAATTAAAAAAAGAAGAGAGCTAACAAGTGTTTTCAAGGATATGAAGAAGATGGAACCTTCCTACAATGCTGGTGGAAATATAAAATGGTGCCGTTGCTGTGGACATCTGTGTGGCAGTTCCTCAAAAGTTAAACCTGGAGTTACCATAAGACCTAGCAATTCCACTCTTAAGTATACAACCAAGAGAAATAAAAATATATGTCCATACAAAAACTTGTACACAGATGTTCACAGAAGCATTATTCGTAATAGCCAAAGAGTGGAAACAACCCGATGTCCAGCAACTTAGTAATGGGCAAACAAACTGTGGTCTCTCCACGCAGTGGAATATTACTTAGCAACAAAAAGGAGTGAAGTGCTGATACATGCTACAACACGGACGAACCTCAAAGACATTACGCCAAATGAAAGAAGCCAGACACAAAAGGCCACACGTTATATGATTCTATTTATATGAAATGTCCAGAACAGGCAAATAAGAGACAGTAAGCAGATTTGTGGTTGCTAAGCTCTGGAGGAGGGAGAATGGGAAGTGACTACCAATGGGTACAGGGCTTCTTTTTGGAGTGACGAAAGTGATCTGGAATTAGGGGTAATGGTTGGACAACCTTGTGAATATACTGAAAACAAGCAAATTGTATACTTTTAAAGGATGAGTTTTTGTTTGTTTTGTTTTGTTTTTGTGACAGAGTCTCACTCTGTCTTCCAGGCTGGAGTGCAATGGCATGATCTCAGCTCACTGCAACCTCCGCCTCCCAGGTTCAAGCGATTCTCCTGCCTCAGCCTCCCAACTAGCTGGGATTTCAGGCACGTGCCACCACACTCGGCTAATTTTTGCATTTTTAGTAGAGATGGGGTTTCTCCATGTTGGTCAGGCTGGTCTCAAACTCCTGACCTCTGGTGACTCGCCCACCCTGGGCCTCCCAAAGTGCTAGGATTACAGGTGTGACCAACCACTTCCAGCCTAAAAGATGAATTTATGGTTTGTCAATAATATCTCAGTTTTTTAAAAGTTAGTCAGAGCTGGGTTCAAATTCTAGCTGTGCTACATGCGAGCTGTGTGACCTTGAGCAAATTACTTAGCCTCTCTGTTCCTCATCTGTAAAATGGTAATAAGAATAATACCTGCTGGGCACAGCAGCTCACGCCTGTAATCCCAGCACTTTGGGAGGCCAAGGCAGGCTGATCACCTGAGGTCAGGAGTTTGAGATCAGCCTGACCAACCTGGAGAAACCCCATCTCTACTAAAAATACGAATTTAGCTGAGCGCAATGGCGCATGCCTATAATCCTAGCTACTTGGGAGGCTAAGGCAGGAGAATAGCTTGAACCCAGGAGGCAGAGGTTGTGGTGAGCCAAGATTGCACCATTGCACTCCAGCCTGGGCCACAAGAACAAAACTCTGTCTCAATCATCATCGTCATCATCATCATAATAATGATACTTATTTCCGGGGGTCCTCGTGAGTGTTGAGTGAGTAAACTGCAAGTGCTAGCAGGGTGCTGGCACCAGGTCTAGTAGCATTTCATAATATTAGCTAATGCAACTGTTGCCACAATGTCCATCCCAGCCCAACCACTGGAAACATTATTCATGAGATAACTTACTTTAAAAGTGCTTTGTAAGCCCTAATTTGTAATGCTGCATTTGTGATGCAGTTGTTCCCCGCCCCCACCCCCACCCCCAGGTTGGAATCTTGCTCTGTCTTGGCTCACTACACCTCCGCCTCCTAGGTTCAAGCAATTCTCCTGCCTCAGCCTCCCGAGTAGCTGGTACCAGAGGCGTGCACCACAACACCCAGATAATTTTTGTATTTTTAGCAGAGACGGGGTTTCACCATGTTGGCCAGGCTGGTCTCTAATTCCTGACTTCAGGTGATCCACCCACCTCAGCCTCCCAAAGTGCTGGGATTACAGGCGTGAGTCACTGCACCTGACTGATACAGTTGCATTTATAAACTCTGTCATAGTCAACAAATGTAAGGGAGTCACTATTCATCATTCCCCGTGAATTCTAGCACATGGTAGTGTCTCCCGTCTCTACTAGGGAGGTGCACTGTATTCACTGCTGTCCAGACTTCTGCCCAGTTTTAGTGTGTTGCCTGCACACTTAGTCTCAAGCACTTTCTGCCCCATGTCTATTGCTTCCGGTACCCCAAGAAATGGGGCCGGGACCTCTGCTGTGCCTGATGAAGTAGACATCAGGCTCATTGCAGCATGGGGACCTAATTCCTATTTTCAAACTGTGCATCTCTCTTCAGCTCCTCTCCAGAACTTCCAGTTTACAAATAAGTGGAGACACTGGTCCTCAGGGCATCAGAGCACTTATCAGGCAAAGGGGCAGAATTAAGAGAACTTCTTTCTCTTTGAAGAAGTCAGCATCCCTCTAGTTGGCCTGGATTTTATTCATTCACTGATGATGTTGTGGGGGGTGGAGAATTCAGTTTTCTAGCAGAATAACTCATGTTAATACATGGCAAATACTGACTCATTACTCTTTCCCACCCCCTTTCTTTCCTGTACAGGGAGCACGTCGGGAAAAAGAAATCTGGTAAGAATATTCTCTATTTTCTTCGCTTTATTCATTGTATAGCAAACTCCAGCTGAGCACCTACTGTGTGGCAGGTCCTGTGTTCTATGCTGGGGATACAGTGATGGGGATGGATGGGTGGTGGGTAGGAGGGAGGGAGGGAGGGGAGGGAAGGGAAGAAGGGATGGGTAAATTGATGGATGGATGGATGGATGAATGGATGGATGGATGAATGGATGGATGGATGGATGAATGGATGGATGGATGGATGGATGGATGGATGGATGGATGGATGGATGTTTGATTGATTGGGTGATACCCCATCCCATTTCCCAAAAATAGTATTTGAGGTTGTTTCATCTTATACGCCAAAAAACTGCCAAGTGGTTGAGACTTGGAGTCTTTTCCAGGGAATGCCTTCATGGAAATGGGGAGACAGATTTCTTCCTAGCTATGATATCAGGAGGTAAATGCCTTTGTTCCACTTTATACAGAGTAATATGGTAGCTGAGAGCTGAGAGCATTCTTTGCAGGTGTGATAAGGGGTCGGAAAGAAGTCCAATGTGGACTTCAGAACTTCCAGAATTCAGCGCTCTTTAATTTCCTAGGATTCCAGGTTTGAGGAGGTTGATGAGGATCAGGGGTGCAAGCAGAGATCCTAGAAGTGAAAAAGAATGCACCCTTTCATGGGCCTCAGTTTCCTCCTAGGTCTTGATGAAGGAGCTGGAGCTTTCCATAGAGTGAAGGGCATCCCGGGCTGAGAGGATGGCCAGGCACAGGCTGGGAGGGAAGAATGTGTGGTAGATTTGGGCCATATCCATTTGACATCCTCGGCACCAGGCCCAGCTCCCGTTTTGGGCAATGACAGATGCAGTATCAAGCAATTCCCAACCCTATTGCCATTCTCCCTACAGTACATTATATTCCTTCCTAATCATCTTTCCATTGCCTGGATGACACAACTCTTCTCTCAGAAGCAATCATAGAGAAAGAGAAAGTGGGATTTGGGAATGCACAGAGGAATGACTGAGCTCTCCCCTGGGGTTTATAAATTTATATAAACAGTGGCCCAACTTCTTCTTCTTGCCACCCAAGGTCATCTGCAAAGGCCCCAGCCATACCTCACCTGGAGCCAATGTGGACTTCACAACTTCCAGAATCCAACACTGTTTAATTTCTTAGGATTCTAGGAGGTTTGAGAGGGTTGATGAGGATCAGGGGTGAAAGCAGAGATCCTAGAAGTGAAAAAGGATGCATCATCTTATGGGCCTCAGTTTCCTCATCTGTAAAATGGGGTTTATCATGGCAGGCTGCCTTGGGGATTATGATAGGATTTATAATCATATTCGTAAGGCACCTAGAACAGTGCCTGGCCATGGTTGGTAATGTATGTTTGATGCTGTTTTTACTGCTACTACTACTATTACTTAAAGTACATGGGTGCCCCTGACCAGCAGTGGTGTATTAGTTCATTCTCACACTGCTATAAAGAAATACCTATGACTGGATAATTTATAAAGAAAAAAGGTTTAATTGGCTCATCGTTCTGCAGGCTTTACAGGAAGCATAGAGGCTTCTGGTCAGCTTCTGGGGAGGCCTCAGGGAGCTCTCCATCATGGTGGAAGGCAAAGGGAGAGCGAGCAGTTCTTAAACGGCAGGAGCAGGACTGAGAGCAAGGGGAGGTGCTACACACTTTTAAACAACCAGATCTCCTGATAACTCCATCTTGAGACAGCACCAAGGGGATGGTGCTGAACTGTTCATAAAGGACCCACCCCCATGATCCAGTCACCTCCCACCAGGCCCCATCTCCAATATTGGAGATTGCAATTCGACATGAGATTTGGTTGGGGACACAGATCCAAACCATATCAAGTAGAAATTCCAAATTAAAAAGCCCCAGTACCTTTGCTGCCCCTGAGTACGGGCCCTATGCTCAACCTGACAGGCCCCACAGTCATTCTCTCTGCCTCAAGGAATGGCGTCGGAATTAACTTCAGCCTTTTCCCAACAGTCTGTTTCTAGCTCTTCTTTCTCGTTTAATAGGTACTGGCCAGAGCCGTGGTATCCTGCTAAAGCTGCAAATAGTTCCTGAGCCCCAGAGATAATTACATGTTTCTTAGAAAAGAGCAGAGAGAAGAGGAGCTGCCGCTCTTGGGCTGGCAGAGTTTCTGGTTTTGAGTGTGTGGAGACTTCCCTAGAAGGAATGAGTGTGGGAGGGGAGAGAAGAGAGGAAAGAGACAGCTCTGGTTTGTGACAAACACAAATGTCCAGTCGGAACGGGCTTGATGAGGGGTCTTGTCTGGAAATGGGGTAAGAAGCTCTAATTTGTGGCGACTGTTGTTGTATCATTCACCTGAAATGATGGGGATGGATTATTTATAATTCAACTGGGTGGAAAATAGCATCTTTCTTCATTCAAACTAAGAGCCCAAGCTGGGATTAGCCGTGTATCTTATTGACCTTTGAACACTTCCTTTATTTTAGAATTGGCCTTTTGGATTGAATTTTAAAAGGATCTAACATTGACAGACTAACTCCTGAGATTTCTGTGCCAAAACTCTGCTTTGGAGAAGGCTTATCTGCCTGTGGCATTTCCCAGTCATGACTGGCTGGCTGGCTCCTACAGACTTTGGCTAATATGGTCTCAAATTCTGCTCATCCTGCAGAAAATGAATCTTCTCACCAAAAGTCAAGAGATCATCCAATTATTTGAGGAGCATCTTTCTTCCTGATTTTTCTAACCCTTACTTAAAAGCATTCTTTGTTTACTGACTCTTTCAGCAAGATTGGCAGTATAGTGAATCTTTGGAAGGAAAATCCCACTTTACCCATCATTTTTAAAATTCAAGACATATTATCATGAAGAAAAAATATGCCCAAATAGAAAACTTCTCTGGTAGATTAGGCACTCTACATCTTAAGAATATTTTATAACACTTAATAATAAAATCAGCCTTCCAATGTTAGACTTTCCTCTTTCTCATCACCTCCTCTCTCGTGTTTCTGACTGGGCCACAGAAGTGATATCCTTGCCTAGGAATCCTTTGATTTCACACTTGGCAACTCCTAGAATTTAGCTTTAGCTGCCTGCCTCAATATTTAGACATTGCAATTATTGTGGCATTATAGAGCTTGGTGGCAATATCACCCTCCACCAGTAGGTGTCTACACTTAACAAGTAAATGGCCTGAAGCCTAATTTGAGACTCATGGTAGATCAAATGAATGAACTTTTTTCATCAGTTTCAGAAAGTTGAGTGGTCTGAGTAAAATGAACCAACTTGCTCTGAAAGAACTGGTGCTGAAACAGCTACTCTATGCATTCTCTGAACCACTTCATGGCAGAGAACTAGTCTAAGCTACTGCCATGGAAAAACAGCAAGGAGATGGTAGTCTTGGACCTGGCCCCAGAGCAAGTCATGGAGGAAATGTCAGCCTGAGCCCTGTGCCAGTCCATGCTCCGCTCCAGCTAACCCAGAGTCCCAGCCCAGAGCTCCCTGCCCTCTTCATTTCCTGGCTCTATGTCTTTCTCACAGCAAATCTCATGATTCCTTGGTTCTGTCGTTCTGTCACTGCTCATAGTTTTGCCAAATCCCACTGGCAGACTGGTTAGGAGAGTTAGTGCAGAAATGCCCGACGCATTCATCAGAGTCCACTCATCAGAGTCACTGTGTGTGGTGCAACTGTGCCACCATCAGGTGTTAAAACTGGGTGGCAAAAGTTGAGCTTTTTGGACAGAGTAACCTGACAACTGGATCTTCACTTAACTGAAGCCCTCTTTCTCCATAGACAAGAAGGAGTCTTCTTTAATTTATAAGATTATAAACTTATAAGGAGGCCTGGAGTCTTGTATAGAGTAGGAAGGGTTTCTAGAAGTCTTCATTTATCTTTTGTTCATTCAACACATTCAATAAATGTGTGTTGCACACCTGTGCTGGATGCTGAATGAACAAGACAGGTACAGTTATTCATTCAATATTTATTTATAAATGTATAATTAATTTATAATTTATTTAAGCACCTACTATGTGCTTAATATTGAATGAGTAACTGTATCTGTACCTGGCAGTGCTCTAGGTTCCCAGGTGGAAACCTTTCTCACAGTCTGGTAGAAAAGACACTTGTATAAACAAAATGAAATGTGAAGGAAGGCATTTGAATGCTCCCTGAGATAGGACGTCATTAAAGCAGAGGGGTTTGTTTGTTTGTTTGTTTGTTTGTTTGTTTGTTTGTTTGGAGAGGAAGTCTCACTCCCTTGCCCAGGCTGGAATGCAGTGGTGTGATCTCGGCTCACTGCAGCCTCCACCTCCTGAGTTCAAGCGATTCTCCTGCCTCAGCCTCCCAAGTAGCTGGGACTACAGGCATGTGCCACCATGTCTGGCTAATTTTTGTATTTTTAGTGGAGACAGGGTTTCAACTCCTGACCTGATGATCCACCTGCCTCTGCCTCCCAAAGTAATGGGATTATAGGTGTGAGCCACCATGCCCAGCAAAGCTGAGTTTTAAACTGGTTCCTTCCTTCATTCAGACACTTACTGAACCCTTGTAAGAAGCCATCCATGTTCTAGGCCAGGGGTTGTCAGATTTTCACTAAGGGGCCAGCTAGTGAATATGTTAGCCTTTATAGGCCACACACAGTCTCTGTCACTGCTGCTAATAATAATCATTCTTTCTCATCCTCTTTCCTCTTCTCCTTCTCTACAGTGCTTAAAAAATATATATAAAGACAGGCCAGGTGTGGTGGCTCACGCCTGTAATCCCAGCACTTTGGGAGGCTGAGGCGGGTGGATTTGTTGAGCCCAGGAGTTCAAGACCAGTCTGGGCAACATGGCAAAACCCCCTCTCTACTTAAAAAAAAAAAAGAAAAGAAAAATGATCAGAGGTGGATTAGACAGGGCCCTGTAGGCCACTGAGGCTTTTCACAAGTTAGGTGAGGACCATCACAGAGACTTGACCTTTGAGAAACATGTTCTGGCACATCTCTTAAAAGGATCACTCTAGCTGCTATATGGAAAACAGACTGCAGCCGAGCATGGTGGCTCAAGCCTGCAATCCCAGCACTTTGGGAGGCTGAGGCAGGTGGATCACTTTAAGTCAGGAGTTCAAGACCAGCCTAGCCAACATGGTGAGACCCCATCTCTACTAAAAACACGAAAATTAGCCAGACATTGTGGCGCATGCCTGTAATCCTAGCTACTCAGAAGGCTGAGGTGAGAGAATCGCCTGAGCCCCAGGGGTGGATATTGCAGTGAGCTGAGATAGTGCCACCGCACTCCAGCCTGGGCAATAGAGCAAGATTCTGTCTCAAAAAAAAAAAAAAAAAAGGCAGGGTCGGGTCAAGGCTGGTAGCAGGGACCAGTTAGGAGGCTAAGAATAGGTGGTTCCCGTTGAAATAGGAAGGAGAGGAAGAGACATCCCAGGTAGAGAAAATAGCCTCTGCAAAGGCACCTTTGCTTTGCAGGTGCACCAGGGATAAAGTGGCCAGAAGGCAAGCTGAGCCCATGGTGCTGAGCAGGGAGTGACATGATCAGAGTAGCATTTTTGAGCAAGCATTCTGGCTGCTGTATGGAGGGCAGACTGGAGGGGCAGGACAGAGACCAGTAACAGCATCTGCCTTCCCTCCCTGGGCCCCGGGAAAGCCCCCCTCAGACCCTGGTGCAGAGGGTGTGGCTCCATGAGGACATGGTGAAGCCGGGTGAGGGAGCACTGCAGAGAAAACTGCCTGAGTGAAGCTGTGGCTCTATGAGGAAGTCCTCGCAGCCACTCCCTGACCACACACCAGCTGCCGACTGCCTACCTGGAAGACACGGGCATTTCTCTTTGAGCATTAACCTGGGCAGCAGGTGCAGGCACCAACCTGTCTGTGAAGTGGGTGCTTTTCCTCTTTTCTTTCCAGTATTTTCTCTCAAGCTGAGGCACAGGGAAGCACACTTACCTGGTCCAGCTCACCTGAGGGCCCAAACGGAAGGGCAGCTGCACTCCTGGGGTTTGAGCCCTTGGGCAGACTGTATCCTGAGGTAGACTGGATTGGATTCACAGCGAAGAGTGAGTCCAATGACCAGGACAGGTAGTCAAGAGCCTCTAAAAGCCACCATCCTACATGCATTCATTCATTCACCAGACAGCACCTTCAAGGAGCTAGTAAGTACCAGGTGGTTCAGAGGCAGTCAAGGCCACTGCCCTCAAGAAGCTCATGGTTTGTAGGGCAGCAGGAAGGGGGCATGAAGCAGCCCACTCTCAGGCCACTGCTCATGTGACTGAGCTGGCTTGAGGGAACTGGCGTCTTGTGTCTAGAAAAAGTTGGCCCTGCCACCTGACCTCAGGGGAACTGGAGGATGAGGAGAGGGCTGGCAATAGCAGACAAGCCTTGAGATGCGCAGAGATGTCAGACTGAGCCTGAGCAGGGGGAAGGAGAGCCCGCAGACCTCAGACCACCCTTCTTCCTCCATCATCTTTTCTTTCCTCATTGCTCTGCCCTGACACACAGGAGAGCCTGCAGCCAAGTGGACAGAGTCCAGCTTTGTCTATAGACAACTGTGTGATCCAGAGAAAGTCACTTAACATCTCTGAGCCTGTGTTCCCGCCCACAGAATGCAGGTGGCAGTACACAGCTTGCAGGGCAAATGCATTGAGATGGTTTACATGCTGTCTGTGGCCTGTGATAGGCCCTCCTTAAGGCTGCTTCCTGCCTGATCTTCTGAACCGTCAGCCTGCATCTTTGTTTCTTTCCTGCTCTCTCTTTCTCTGTTCTTGTGCGTTCTCTATGCAGGGTGCAAGTGGCAGGGTTGTCCCCAGCCTAAAGGCCCTCCCATTTCCCTGTTACCATCAGGCAGGAAGCGGGAGGTGGCCAGAACATGGGCACAGAGCCAGGAAGCAGAACCCTTCACCCAGCTACAATGCCCTATTCTGCTTTTTCATATCAAAAATCCAGACTGCATGGTTCTAACAAGGGGCTTCTGTGCTGCTTCTGGTTGCAGATGCTGGAGTGCAGTGGTGTGCTGGTAGATACATAATAACCAGCTCTCCAGTGGGGAAACCCTGCTTTGTAGCATTTGCCAATTTCTGTGGTGTAAATACTCCCACCATGGCCAATTTCGAGCTACCAACAAGACACCACCCAACAGAGTGGGGAGAGATGCACAAAGTCAGTTCTGTGCACTGGCTTTCACACGCTACTCCACAATTGTCTTTTTTTGTTTTTGAGATGGAATCTCACTCTGTCACCCAGGCTGGAGTGCAGTGGTGCAATCTCAGGTCACTGCAACCTCTGCCTCCCGGGTTCAAGCGATTCTCATGCCTCAGTCTCCTGAGTAGCTGGGATTACAAGTGTGCACCACCATGCTCAGCCAATTTTTGTATTTTTAGTAGAAATGGGGTTTTGCTATGTTGGCCACACTGGTCTCAAACTCCTGACATCAGGTGATCCACCCTCCTTGGCTTCCCAAAGTGCTGGGATTACAGGCATGAGCCACCATGCCCCACCCAGAATTATCTTTTTAAAAATGTAACTCTTGTCTTGTTATTCTCTTCTTAAAGCCCTTAATTGACTTGCCTCTTCAAGGTTAAAAGCAATCCAACTTCTTTACTTGGCCCCGAAGATCCTGCCTGATGTGACCTGTGCCTACCTCAGGGACCTCACTCAGAACCACTCTTGCCATGCACTTCCTCGCCTGGCCTCCTCCTAGTCCCGAAGATCCCAAGTCCTTTCCCATCTCAGAGTGTGCCTACTCCACTCTCCCGCATTCTCATCATGATCCCTCCTCCTGCCTCAGGTCTTGCCAGCCACCCCATTTATATAGCATTGTCTTTTCCCTTCATTTTCTGTCCCAACATCCTGGTTGTTTCTAGCAATTTATCATAAACTAATGCTTATATAATTCTATATCTTATCAATTATATATATATGTGTGTCTATCTCTGTGACTAGACTGAGTTACTTGAGGCTGGGAGTCATAGCTGTTTTATTCACCTTTGTACTCCAGAGTATCTGGAATCAACATCAGTAGTGATTTCATAGATTAATAGGCAAGTGATTTTGGATGGATGATGAGATGGTTGATGGATGATGGTGTTTAATTGGATATATCATGAGTGGATAGATGGTAGAATGGCGGGCAGACAGATGAATGTTTGGTTGGATGGACGGATGATGGATGGATAGTCGGTTGGATAATGGCATATGATGGCTGGCTAGTTAGATGTATGGACAGATGGACATATGGATGGAAAAATGGATGGATGGATGGCTAAGTATGAATGAATGAGTTTTTCCACTAGGGTGTCAACATCTTCAGGGCAGGTACCATATCTTAATCAACTCTGAATCCCCAGTTCCTGCACAGAATAGCACTTGGTCAATTTGGGTGGTTGAATAAGCACATGAATAGAAGAATGAATGGATGAAGTCACCCTTGAGATGAGTCCTGTAACTGCTTCTTTTTTATCTGGAATGCCCTCTTGACCCACCCTACGGCTCTGGCTCCTGCTCTTTCATGCATGGGTGGTGGCCAGATGTCATGTCTGTTTCCTATCCACAGGAGGTGACCAAACCTCAGTGGACCCCCTGGTCCTGGAGCAGTATGTGGTGGTGGCCAACTACCAGAAGCAGGAGAGTTCAGAGATCAGCCTCGGCGTGGGGCAGGTGGTGGACATCATCGAGAAGAATGAGTCAGGTGGGGACCTAGACCGCCTCCCTCTCCTACTGCCCTGTCACCAAGCCCCTAGGACAGGAAACATTGGGAAATTCAGAAACGGAAATGGCCAATCCAGGCTGGCCAGTTCCCACAGATCTGGCAGAAGATCTCTTAGAAAGTGGCCCCTGTTTGATCACTGTGCTCGAATATCCCACCTGGTGACCACTCACCAGTATCCTGTTGGGTCAGATGGTACCGATTTGTTCTGACATTCACATTTTATAAACATTCCTTCTGGTTCTAAAGCACTTGCAGACGCAGAGTCCAGCACTCCACTGGAAATGTGCTCCGTTGGTTTGCCTTTGCTTACCCATGAGAGTCTTTAAGAAGGCTCCATCGCTCTGGGCTCTCAATGGGACAGACACATTCCCTGTCCTTAGCCTGCCTGCCCATCACAGGGACCACCGGTCATGGACACTGGCTGGGTCTGGGGCAGAATGTGGTGTGATTGAGACATTTAACCTGGATTTCCATCGGAATTCCACATTTCACAGTGGTTCAGGTGGCTTTGTTCCGGTCCTTTTCTTATCAACAAAATAAAAACTTCTGCTCTAAAGAGTGATTGTAAAGATGAAGTGACATAATATGTAAAGATGCTTAAAGTGCTTAGCACATAGCAGATGCTCAAAAAATGTGGGTTTCCTTCCCCTTTGCCTTCCTTAGCCACAAAGCAGCCATTGAACCCCACTGAAGGCAAAGAGCAGAAAATAAGCAGACCCTCCCTGAGAAAATGCAGTGGAAACCACTGGGTTTGTTGTGGCTAACATGCGACATTAGCTAGTCATATCATTAGTGCGTCAGTCTCTGTGACAGCCCAGTGGCTAGTTGAGATCCAAAGAACAGGGGAAAGACGATGTTTCCAACATCATCTGGATCATGGTGGCATTAGTCATGAGACCAGCACCAGCCAGCCAAACTTCCTTCATTACTCAATATAGGAGTTGCCATCCTTGCTTCACAGCTAATGCAACCATGACTCCAAGTGAGTCAGTCATTCACCCCACATCTCATAACAGGCTGCGGAGCTGGACTTCCAAACCAACTCCAACAGCCCCTAAGGCCATGTGACTTTCCAATTCCTGAGAATGAATGTGTGCAGACTGTGTGATGTGGCTAGGACACACCATGGGGATTTAAAGACAGAAAGACAGGAGCACCCACTGCCCTGGGCCCCCAGCTTGCAGGAAGTAAGGAAAGTTGGGTTACTGGGAAGAAGAGTGGGGGCCAGGAATGAGTGTTGGTATGTCCAGAGAGTAGCAGAAAGAAGGGAGAGGATGAGTGGTACATCTTCAAGTAGCCAACACAATAATGGCATGTATTTTTAATTATATTGTACTTATCCAAGTAATGGATGGATACATTATTCTTAAAACATTAATGATAAAACTAAAATCATTTTTTCCACCAGCATCAACCCTAACCCCCTTTCTAAGCCCCAGATAACCCTTCTATTCATTAGTATGACCCTTTCTTGAAAATATTATATACACACACGTGTGTGTGTGTACATGTGAATATATACACTCACACATACACATGTACTCATTCATGCAGACATACATGCACATATACACAAACACATTGTATTATGTGTGTATTTTTGTGAGCTTTTAAAAAACCCAGTGGTGTTATTGTATACATTTTGATCTGCAACTAACTTTTTTTTAGTTACTTTCTAGCTCCTCTGACTTTTCACATCTGCGTAGTATTCAATGCCTGAGTAAGCCATGTTCATGTATTTGTGTTCATACTCCATTGTGAACAGTGCCACAGTGTGCTTGTCAGTTTCTTAAGGTTAGATTCCAACAAGTGGAACAGCTGACTATAAGATACACATATTTTATTTATTTATTGTGGGGGGAGATGGAGTCTCGCTGTATCATCCAGGCTGGAGTGCAATGGCACGATCTTGGCCCACTGCAACCTCCGTCTCCCTGGTTTGAGCAATTCTCCTATCTCAGCCTCCTGAGTAGCTGTGACTACAGGTGCACACCACCACACCTAGCTACGTTTTGTATTTTTAGTGAAGATGGGGTTTTACCATATTAGTTGGGCTAGTCTTGAACTCCTGACCACACACCTCGGCCTCCCAAACTACTGGGATTACAGGTGAGCCACTGTGCCTAGCCAAGATACACATATTTAAGTCTTATGATACCACCAACTTATCTGCTTCCAAAACAGTGGCTGTTTTGATTTATCCTCCCTCTAGCAATGTGTGAGGCATTAGTAAAAATAGTTTAGAGCTGAGACAGCCTGGGTTTGAAACCTGGCTCTGCTACGTTCTCTCTTTGTGGCTTTGAGAGATTTGCCGAACCTTAGCTTCCCCATCTGTGAAATGGGGGCAGTAATAGTACACACCTCATAAGGCTGTGGTGGAGATCTAGCAAGGTAGGAGTGGACATGCAGCACTCTGGACGGTATTTGACACATCAGTGCTGTCATTTCTATTGTTTTATGACCGTTTCCTTATCTTCATACAAATATTTGCAAGTATGAATCTTTAGAAAATCATAGAGCATATTTTCAAATTTCTGGTTTTCCACAGGTTTAACAGCCCCAGAGTTCCATTTATTCTCACTCACATATACATACAGAACAATCAGCCACCATTACAGGTATTCTGGAACCTGACATCAAGTAAAGCAGAAGGCAGCTTCCATTTCTGGAAGGCGGAGAGCCAGGCCTCTCTGTAAGACCAGCAGTCTTGAGCAAGAGTCTGCTCCTTCCTTCTCTTCTCCTCTGGGGTCTCTAGGGCTTGGAGGTGTATGATCTTGGGGAACAGTTCCCATTTTTCCATTTATTTTATACGGAGCCAGTTGGTCCCTGTATAGTTTCCCATTGATGCTGTGATGATTTACTACAAACTCAGTGGCTTAAAACAGAACTTACTTATTTGTTTGTTTGTTTAAACAGAGTTTCACTCTGTCACTCAGGCTGGCTGGACTGCAGTGACATGATCTCAGCTCACTGCAACCTCTGCCTCCTGGGTTCAAGTGATTCTCCTGCCTCTGCCTCCCTAATAACTGGGATTACAGGCAGGAGCCATCACACCCGGCCAACAGCACGTGTTTACCTAACAGTCTCACTGGCCTAAAATCAAGGAATCGACAGGGCCCCATTGCTTTCTTCAGGTTCCCAGTGCGATCTGTTTCCTTGGCTTTTCCAGATCCTGGAGGCCACCTTGGCTCATGGCCCCTTCTTCCTTCTTCAGTGCCAGCAGTGTTGCACCTCTCTGTGTCTTTCCCCAACAGCCACATCTCCCCGTGACTTCTGCCTCCTTCTTGCATGCTTAAGGACCCCTGGGATTATGTTAGGCCCACCCAGAGAATCTAGGATAAAATCCCTACTTTAAGGTCAGCAGATTAGCAGCCTTAATGATTGCCATGTAACCTAATACATTTACAGGTTTGAGGGATTCAGACACAGACATCTTTGTGGGGAGAGGGTCATTATTCTCCCTACCACAGGCCCCATGCAGGCCCTTCTCCTTAGGGAATGCCTGAGCCTCACAGGGTGAGAGGCCTGTGAAGCAGATGCTAAATCTGCATCTCAGATAAGGACAACGCCGTTAGAATCAAACAGCCCTGTGCACAAATCACGGCTCTTCCACAAGCCATGTGAACTTGGATGAGTCTGTTTGCCTCTTTGAGCCTGTTTCCTCACGTGTACAATTGGGATGATAATGTGAAGATTATATTTAATGCAAGTAAAATGATGGGTGCATCACACGTCTTAGGGAAGGTGAACTGCTGTTGTTGTTGTTGTTGTTGTTGTTGTTTTGAGATGGGATCTGGCTCTGTCACCCAGGCTGGAGAGCAGTGGTGCAACCATAGCTCACTGCAGTCTTGACCTCCTGGGCTCAGGTGATCCTCCCATCTCAGCCTCATGAGTAGCTGGGACTACAATCATGCACCACCATGCTTGGCTAATTTTTAAACCTTTTGTAGAGATAGGGTTTTGTCATGTTGCCCAAGCTGGTCTTGAACTCCTAGGCTCAAGCAATCCACCCAAATGCTGGGATTACAGGCATGAGCCGCCATGCCCGGCCTCTTAATTGTTGTCATTTAGGATAACTTTACTCTTCCCTGTCTTGGGTTCAGGAATAAGTCTCTGAACCTGATTTTAGCAGTTAGCAGGTAACATTGGTAGTTGTCTTTTACCAGTAAAATGGTAACTTTAGCCTAACCCAGGAGTTCACTGGTATATTGGCTGAATAGATTATTATGTTCTGACCCCCATGCCTCATACTTGACCCAACTAACACCATTCTGCACTCTCGCTTCCCCAGGTTGGTGGTTCGTCAGCACTGCCGAAGAGCAAGGCTGGGTCCCTGCAACGTGCCTCGAAGGCCAGGATGGGGTGCAGGATGAGTTTTCCCTGCAGCCTGAAGAAGGTAGGAAGGAGCTCGAGCCTCTGCTTGCTGGGGAGGACCTGTAGAGTCATCACCCATATTGGGTTGCCTTTTCACCCAATCTCTTCTTTTGGCCTCTGCCTTGGCATCAGCAGTTCACTAGCTCAGGCTCCATAGCCTGTGAACCGAAAACCAGGCCATGGTATTAGGGCTGAGGAGCAAGCCCACCCTCTCTTAGGGGCCTTTATTAGCAACCTAGGTGAGCCTGGCCAGAGCTCAAGCCCTAACCCTTCCATGGGACCCCGAGAGGGGTCAGATCAGCCTGATCCCCAACAACAGTTCACTATTCCTCCCTAGAATTATTCTGGTGGCCAAGGTGGTAGAGCTGCTTCAGCTCATTTGCAAGACATTTGACCCCATCTATTTAAAGGCCTCTACTTTCTCTGTGGGTTTCAGTGGCCCTGACCAGGTGTCCCCCTCCACTCACCCACACACACACATTCCATTGTTTCCCAGAGAACTTCCTACTACCATGCCAGAAATGCTAAGACCCAACCAACTCCCTTTCCCCACTAGAAACATTCCTAAAACTAGGGCATGAGTTCACCTGCACTAACAAACAGGGGTTTTAGGAGCCTGGCCACAGTGGCTCATGCCTATAATCCCAGCACTTTGAAAGGCCAAGGCAGGCAGATCACCTGAGGTCGGGAGTTCAAGACCAGCCTGATCAACATAGAGAAACTCTGTCTTTACTGAAAATACAAAATTAGCTGGGCGTGGTGACGCATGCCTGTAATCCCAGCTACTCAGGAGGCTGAGGCAGGAGAATCACTTAAATCTGGGAGTCAGAGGTTGCCGTGAGCTGGGATCACACCATTGCACTCCAGCCTGGGCAACAAGAGCAAAACTCTGTCTCAAAAAAAAAAAACCACACACACACAAAAACAAACAAACAAACAAAAATACACCGGGGTTTAGGAATCAGACACACCTGAATTTTAATCTCAGCTGTACTACTTACTGGTTGAGTGATCTTGGGCCAGTAATTTAACCTCTCTAAGCCTCAGCCTCCTCATGTAAAAATGGAAACAATGATATCTATATCATGGGATTTTTGAAAGAAAAAAAAAATGAGATCCACATGCAAAGAACCCAGAACAGTAAATGACCAGAAACAGTTATTATTGTATCAGCAGTACCTGACCTAGAGTTGAGTTTTCTTGGCTTTTAGTTGACTGTTATGAGAAAGCACAGAGCCACATAAAACGTATCTTCATCAGATAAGAGGATGAGGAGAAGGGGGATATTCCTATGCTCAAAATTAGCAAAAAATTGACATCGGGTTTTGCATTGAGTACTATTACAGCCAACGCCCCTCAAAGTAAAACATCTGTTGGTTTGCTCTGCATTTGTCGGGCCCGCCAGGCACTAGCGGGTAACATGGGGTTACCGCCAGAATTAACTCAGATGAAGGAGTTAAATTAATCCCTTAGCAATGTACTGCATGGAAACTAGAGCCCCTGAGACAGTTCGCAAGGACCACTCTGAGAGCGCCTCTGTCAGGTACTCATGACTGTCCCCATTTTACAGAGGAGGAAATGGGGTCTGAGAGGCAAGGAGACTTGTCCAGGGTCACACAGCTGGAAGATGAGAGCAAGACCACATTTTCCTGAGTTTGTACGTTTGTTTTCTTCCCTCAGCCACACATAGGACATTTTTATGTTTTGTTTTGTTTTGTTTTTTGAGATGGAGTCTCGATCTGTTGCCCAGGCTGGAGTGCAGTGGCGTGATCTCAGCTCACTACAACCTCCATCTCCCAGGTTCAAACGATTTTCCTGTCTCAGCCTCTCGAGTAGCTGGGATTATAGGTGTGTACCACCACACCCAGCTAGTTTATGTATTTTTAGTAGAGGCGGCGTTTTGCCACGTTGGCCAGGCTGGCCTCGAACTCCTACCATAGTGCTGGGATTACAGGCGTAAGCCACAGCACCTGGCCTTTTGTTGCTTTTTATTTTTTTTTTTTAATTTTTTATTATTATTATTTTTATAAAGATGGGATTTCACCATGATGGCCAGGCTGGTTTTGAACTCCTGACCTCAGATGATCCACCCACCTCAGCCTCCTGAAGTGCTAGGATTACAGGTGTGAGCCACCACGCCCGGCCTTGTTGGTTTTTTTTTTTTTTTTTTTTTGAGATGTGGTCTTGCTCTGTCACCCAGGCTGGAGTGCAGTGGCATGATCACGGCTCACTGCAGCCTTGAACTCCTGGGCTCAAGTGATCCTCCCACCTCAGCCTAGCACCTCTTTATAATCATGCTAGGAATGGAATTGTGTCTGCTAGAAGCCTCTTCACCCAAGTTCATGATTAATACTGAGGAACTTGGTCTTCCTAAGATGTCTGGGGCTTGGAATAAACTCAGAAATAATGCTATCCAGGGTGGGGACATGTGCTTGGTGCCACCTTTGCCTCTACACATTGTGGTGCTTTCTTCTTACCTCTGCCCTCTGCCCTTCCCCCAACATGCTGCCGTACAGTCTCATGGAGGTATTGGTCTCTGCCCCGGCCCGTGGGCCGCCGCCGGACTCTGGGGGACTTGTATGCCATCAGCTGGCGTCAAGGTGCCTACCTCGGAGTTTTCTTCCCCGTTTGGTGTCTGGAGCCAGGTCCCTGCACTGCATGAGCCTCCCTGCTCTGGGACTGCCCGTGCCTGTTGCATGTGAGAAACAGTGATCTCGTCTGTCTAGTGTGACATGTATGTTGTTGGCATGTGGGTTTGGGAGGAGCAGGCCTGGGGTATTGTTGGCCTTGGGGCTCTAAAGTGTCTCAGGTTAAAAAATGATGCCTGCAGGTTTCTATAAGGCTGAACCAGTGACTGATTCCTTCATTCAGGCTCATTTGACTTGCAAGGGAAAGAAATCCACATAAACCAAGCTAAGCAAAAGGGGAAGTCTATTGACTTATATCACTAAAAAGCCCAGGGAAGGGCTAGCTTCAAGTAGAGCTGGATCCGGGGGGTTGAAACTGTCCTCAGGACCTGGGAATCTCTCACCACCTCACTGTTTGTTGGCACCATTCTCTCGTGATGACAGCAGTTCCAAGTACTGTTTAGGGACATCACCAAAGAAAGAGCTTCTCTTTCGACACAAGTCCTAGGATTGTTTTCAGCTGACCCACTAGGGTCACTTGCCATCCATGAATCCAGTCACAGTGGCTGGGAGTTGCAACACTTTGGGCAGGCCAGAGTCCCATACCTACTCCTTCCCTCCAGGAGGTGGTGAGCTTGGCCTCACTAAGCCATGGAGACAGAGGCTGGTAGCACCACCAGAGGAAGGGCAAATGCACATGAGGGAGGAAGCCTCTGCAGGCATGCAGTCTGCAAGGTCTTCCAGCCTCTGCTTTGTGTGCAATCACTGAGCATCCCATGGATCTCAGAGAGGGACTCCGGTGATAGGAAATCCATCCGTGCAGCTCAGCTGAAGGGTGTGGGCCCCAGGAGTCCAGGCTCATAGGACTGACTGCACTCATTCTGAGACCCAGGTGGCACCCTTTCCTACCTGGACCAAACAGAATTTCTGTGCACCTAGGGTTGGATTCTTCCCTCCACCTCTTCCAGCCCAGCAGGCCAGCCGGCAGCTTCCGTGAAGGAGGGGAACAGCTGACTGTGCTGAGCACAGGATATGTGCAGCTTCAGTCAGCTCACTCCCTACCGAGCAGGTCAGCAGGCTAGATCAATAAATAAATAAACGCCCTGTGTGTTTTCCGCCTCTCTCTGCACCAGCTGGGCAGGCCGCTGACGGCATGTGGTATTTTCCGAAAGAGATAGCATCTGCAGCAGCATATTAACCATGACACCAGGCCACAGCTGGCTCAGGCACTCACCAGGGGCAGAAATGTAACCAAAACAGAAGCGCCCTCTCCTTGCCTTGCCTGGCTCCCTTGAGGCACAAATCCATTTTCTCCATTTCAGCTGCCATAGCAGATAACATTATGGGTGGGAGCTGTTCCTGGCTCTATGGGACACCCTGCCAGGGTGCGATGATGAGTAACTCGCCCCACTGAGCCCAGGCCCTCCAGGGCTACTGTGGGAGGGGACGCAGCTGGGGGCATCTCTCAGGGAGGAGGGTGAGGCCGTAAGGATGGTCCCACGGCTTCAGTGGTCAGGGGGACTGCAGAGAGTGGGGTAGAAGACATTCCAGTCACAAGAATGGAAGTTCAGGCTTTGAGCATGGCTGAATTCAAAGACTTGAACATAATTAATAAAAAGTGAAGAACAATCACCAGCAAGGTAATGAAAATGGTGAGCCGTGTCCTCCCTGGTTTTGATTTCAGCCTGAAACCCTCCACTGCCAAAGTTCAGCTTCTCCCTGAACTCCACCAGCAAGAGCTGGTAAAGAGCCACAGACAGCTTAACCCCCTCTGTGATCAAGGTGGCTCCCACCGGGGCTTCAGGTCTTGCTCATTTATTGCATATTGACTGATTTGCTAAACATTCCAAGCATCATGCACAGTGCTAGAGACATAGGAATGCATAAGACAGACAAAGCCCTGTCTTCATGGCGTTATATTCTAGCAGAGGAAACAGACACACACCTACGAAACACAATAAATAAGCTGGATAATTCCTGGTATGGGTGGGGGGCAATAAACTGGGATAAGGGGGGTGAGAATGCCCTGGATGGAAGTACTGTATAAGGTGGTGGAGGAAGGTGACCTCAAAGCACAGATTGAAGCAGGTGAGGCTGAGTGTGTGGCTCTGAGGGATTTCAGAAGGATAGAGACCTGCCCTTTGTCCTGTGTTCTGTTGCTACCTGCAGGGCCATCCAGGGCTAGGTCGGGGCCAGCGGTGTGCCCAGAACTCTCTGGAGGAAATCTTCCCTCCAATGAGCAAGGCCATCACAGGGATCACAGCCTCCCAGGCCTCTTGGTGTCCTCTTCTGACCCCAGCTTCCTTTTGCCCCCACAGAGGAGAAGTACACAGTTATCTACCCGTACACAGCTCGGGACCAGGATGAAATGAACCTGGAGAGAGGGGCTGTGGTGGAGGTCATCCAAAAAAACCTGGAAGGCTGGTGGAAGATCAGGTACCCGCCACTGCCTCCTGCTGTCACTGGGTGGGTTTGGGGTCACATGGGCTCCGGCTTCACAGAGGTCAGTAAGTGATTGCATCTGGGTGAAATTTCTGCCTGAACCATAAAAGGATACTTCTCCTCTGTGTTGTTTGGCCTCCCTCCCCTTACCTAAAAGTCCATAATAAGCAAAACCTTCTCCAAACAACTGAACTACAGATAGCAGCAACCCTGTTAAGCAAGGCTGGTTTCTACCTCCAGATGTTTCTCATAATGAGTAGTTGAAGACCTAAGCTTCCCCGTGTAAGTGGCAGCCCCCTCCAGCCCCATTCTGAGCACAAGATGGAGTATAAACGTGTCACGTACTGATAATCTGCCTTCATCTCTCAAAGTCCAGTGGTCAAAGCAGGGCATCTGCATTCCAAACGCCTTTCATAGCTTTCAGCTATGTGATGGAATCAGAGCCTCATAGGCAGGCAGGGTGTCCAGCTCATCCTGCCTTGCCTGGGACTTCCCCAGTTTTATTTATTTATTTATTTACTTACTTACTTACTTATTTATTTATTGAGACTGAGACTCACTGTCATCCAGCCTGGAGTGCAATGGCACAATCTCAGCTCACTGCAACCTCCACCTCCCAGGTTCACACGATTCTCCTTCCTCAGCCTCCCAAGTAGCTGAGATTACAGATGAACACCACCACACCTGGCTAATTTTTTTGTATTTTTAGTAGAGACGGGTTTCACTATGTTGGCCAGACTGGTCTCAAACTCCTGACCTTGTGATCCACCCAGCTCAGCCTCCCAAAGTGCTGGGATTACAGGCATGAGCCACAACACCCAGCTACTTCTCCAATTTTAGTAATAAAAGTCCTGGGAACCCCTCCTTGATCACCCCCAATAGGCAGAGTGTGACCACAGGAAATTAGGGCAAGAGAGGAAGCCAAGGTTCCTGTGATCTAGTGTCTGCACCATGATTGTCTCAGGACATTTGGGCCATTTCCAGGAAGCTGAGCATGTAGCAATACATTCATTCATTTATTCAACAAACACACACCAAGTATGTCTATTGGGCCCAGTCCTGTTCTGGGAGCTGGGGAGTCAGCAGTGAGCAAGACACAGAAGCGCACACCACCCAGTGAAGACAAACCCATACAGGTGGTTGGCCGTGTGTTGGAGGGATGCATGGGGACTTTGGTATACAGAAGAGGGGCTCCTCAGCTTTGGCGTCAGGAAGGCTTCCTGGGAGAGATCTCAGAATTTAAATTTGAAGAAGGATAATGATAGTAATAGTGCATTAGGCTGTTTTCACACTGCAGATAAAGACATACCCAACATTGGGAAAGAAAAGGTTTGATTGGACTTACAGTTCCACATGGCTGCGGAGGCCTCAGAATCATGGCTGGAGGCAAAAAGCACTTCTTACACAGTGGCAGCAAGAGAAAACGAGGAAGAAGCAAAAGCAGAAACCCCTGATAAACCCATCAGATCTCGTGAGACTTATTCACTCTCTCGAGAATAGCATGAGAAAGCAGCCCTATGATTCAATTACTTCCCCCTGAGTCCCTCCCACAACACATGGGAATTCTGGGAGTTACAATCAAGTTGAGATTTCAGTGGGGACACAGCCAAACCATATTAAATAGCAAACATGGGCCGGGCACAGTGGTTCATGCCTGTAATCCCAGTACTTTAGGAGGTAAGGCAGGAGGATCACTTAGGGCCAGGAATTCAAGACCAGCCCAGGCAACATAGCAAGATCCTGTCTCTACATAAAAATCCTTTAAATTAGCCAGGCATGGTGGTGCATGCCTGTAGTCCCAGCTGCTCAGAAGGCTGAGGCAAGAGGATCACTCAAGCCCAGGAATTTGAGGCTGCAGTGAGCTATGATGGTGCCACTCCAGGCTAGGCAACACAGCAAGACCCCATCTCTAAAATTAAAGACATTAATTTTTTTTAAAGCATAACAAACAGCTAGGCACGGTGGCTCACACCTGTAATCCCAACACTTTGGGAGGCCAAGGTGAGCAGATCACCTGAGGTCAGGCATTTGAGACCAGCCTGACTGACATGGAGTAACCCTGTCTCTACTAAAAATACAAAATTAGCTGGGCATGGTGGCACATGCCTGTAATCCCAGCTACTTGGGAGGTCGAGGCAGGAGAATCACTTGAACCGAGAAGTGGAGGTTGCGCTGAACTGAGATCACACCATTGCACTGCAACCTGGGCAACAAGAGCGAAACTCCATCTCAAAAAAAAAGAAAAGGGATAACATTTATTGAATAGTACATTATCTTGCTACATAATAAATTGTCCCAAAACTTAGTGGCTCTGGAATTCAAGAGTAGCTTAATTAAACTCAAGATCTCTCCCGAGGTTGCAATTAGGAAGTCAGTACGGGCTGCGGTCATCTGGAGATTTGACTGAAGCTGGAAAATGGTAGTCAGGATTTCAGAGCCCACTCAGCACTGTACATCACCTCCCATTTTACGTCTCTGTGTCCCCAAACAATGAATGGTGTCACACTGAGGGTGTGGGTTATATACAGCCTGACATCTTCTAATTAGGATATTCCCTCTGAGCACGTATTTTAAGATTGGTAGACACTAAACTGCAGAGTTCTACCTCCTTTTAAATTTGCTTCCAGTCGAGAAAGACCTTTGTTTTTTTTTTGCATTAAAACCCAGTGTTATTTAGTTCTTGAATTAATTCTTGACAAGAGTTTTGGCCCTGCCTTTGGGTCTATTCAGCTTTCCCCAAAGGTCTGGACACCTGTTTTGTGGGTTCTGGTAAACGTTTAACAACCAGCTCTCCAAGGAAAAGTACTATGAGTTATGGTGTTTGCCAGTTGCCATGGTGCAAATACTGCCACTGTGGTCAATTTCAAGCTATCAGTGTGATGTGACTAAACGTAGAGATTAGGAGAGATGTGCCCGACTGGTTGTCACAGCTGGTGTGACTGACTGCAGCACACCCCTGGTCTACATTGACCCCTCTGGTCATTGCTATTAAACTGAAATCTTGCCAGGCAGGGTGGCTCATGCCTGTAATCCCAACACTTTGGGAGGCTGAGACAGGAAGAACACTTGATTTCAGGAGCCTGAGACCAGCCTGGGCAACACAGCAATACCCCATCTCTATAAGAAATAATAATAAATAAACAGCCTGGCATGATGGTATGTACCTGTAATTCCAGCTACATAGGAGGCTGAGATGGGAGGATCGCTTGAACCCAGGAGTTCAAGGCTGCAGTGAGCCATGATGGAACCACTGCACTCTGGCCTGGATGACAGGGAGACCCTAGCTCAAAAACTGAATCTGTCCTGCAGATTAGGTGATGATGACACTCATTGAATTCCCTTTTGGGAGGACACCAAGCTGTTCTGTCAGGTTCTCAATCTGCAGTTTAGTGACGGCCAGCTGACATTTGGCAAGCCCTCAACCTGCTAATCCCATGTGAAAACATGTTTAATCTCCATGTTAACCAGCGTGAACAGCTCCATCTGTCTATGCCACGCTTTGGCCCTAGAGCTGGGGCTGATGGGAAGAGGCAGCAAAGCACAGACGTTCCAAGCCCAGCCCTTCTGGCTGGGTGGGACTTGGAGGGTACTGTGAGGGGCAGTTAGTAGAGGCCGGGTTGGAAACGCTAAGGGCTTAGGCTTCATCAAGACGAAGTGCATGGTGTGCCAACCTCTGACCCTGGGCAGTCACAACCTAGTCCTGCTCCCTGGGACCTGTCATGTGATTCCCAGTAGGAGCAAGGCTTCTTCCGTTGGGCCTGGCAAAGTAGTTTGACAGCATTCTTCCTACTCCTCACAGGTACCAGGGCAAAGAAGGCTGGGCCCCTGCCTCCTACCTAAAGAAAAACAGTGGGGAGCCCTTGCCCCCAAAGCCAGGTCCTGGCTCACCCACCCACCTGGGTGCCCTTGACTCGGATGGTGTTTCCCGGCAGCAGAACGCAGTGGGCAGGGAGAAGGAGCTGCTCAGCAGCCAGAAGGATGGGAGGTTTGAAGGCCGCCCGGTGCCTGACAGCGATGCCAAGCAGAGTGAGTGATGCCCACCCAAGCTCCCAATGCTCGGGGCCCCCTGTGTGCCAGCTCTGTGCTTAGGGCTCCTCACATCATCCCTCATCCTCACAGTGGCCCAGCTGCCCACCCCACCATCCTCTAGATAAGAAAACAGAGGCTCAGAAACCCCAGGTAACTTGTTGCAGATCTCTCAGCCCGTGAGTTGCAGAATCTGAGTCAAGAGGCATTGCTGGCCGGGCGCAATGGTTCACACCTATAAACCTAACACTTTGGGAGGCTGAGGTGAGTGGATCACCTGAGGTCAGGAGTTCGAGACCAGCCTGGCCAACATGGTGAAACCCTGTCTCTACCAAAAATACAAAAAGTAGGCGGGTGTGGTGGCGGGCAACTGTAATCCCAGCTACTCAGGAGGCTGAGGCAGGAGAATTGTTTGAACCTGGGAGGTGGAGGTTGCAGTGAGCCAAGATCATACCATTGCACTCTAGCTTGGGTGACAAGAGCGAGACTCCATCTCAAAAAAAAAAAAAAAGAGCTGTTGCTTTCCTCCCCTAGGTGACATTCTTTCCACTATCTCACGGTGGTCACACTGGCTACTGTTTTTCAAGCACTTTCTACATGCCAGAAACCTTCTAATCAGTCTCATTGACTCCTCCTAGCTACCTTTGAAGGAATTACTACTTTTTCTGTTTAACAGATTGGGAGTCTGAAGGGTGAGAGGGTGTGCCCAAGGCCCCCAGCTAGCGGCTGTCAGCCACAGGGACTTGAACCTGGCAGTGCTGTGCTCTCTATTCCTCCATGTGGCCTTGTTTCTAAGCCAGAGAAAGAAGAAGACGACCCTATGGGGTTTACTCCAGCACCAATGCCTCTCCCATCTTGCTTTTCAAAGCCTCCTCGTGTATATTTCACTATTTAATGTTCCCAGCACACCTGAGAGTAGAGTTCATTACTGTGGTCAGCCTGGTCACACTGGCTACCATACCATGTCTGCATGGGCACGCTGGTGCCCGGGACTCATGCACACTGCCCATGATCCTGTCTTGGTCATGCAGGGCAGTGGACTCTGTCTGTTAAGAAAGGACTTTGAGCTACCCACAGAGCCACCGCCCCTGGCTGGGCTTCTCCCTGCTATTTTTAAGTGGCAATGAATTTCTTCAGTCCCTCAACCAAGCTTCATACTCTGCTCAGCTGCCCTAAGAAGTCACTGATCATGTTTTCTCATGTGCTGTGGTGGGGGTTCTGGCCAGCCCCGAATTTGTGTGCGATTCTTTTTTTTTTTTTTTTTTTTGAGACAGAATCTCATTCTGTCACCCAGGCTGGAGTGCAATGGCGTGCTCTCAGCTCACCACAACGTCCACCTCCCAGGTTCAAGCAATTCTCCTACCTCACCCTCCCACGTAGCTGGGATTATAGCTACCCACCACTCCCGGCTAATTTTTGTTTTTTTTAAGTAGAGACGGGATTTCACCATGTTGGTCAGGCTGGTCTCGAACCACTGACCTCGTGATCCTCCCACCTCACCCAAAGTGTTGGGATTACAGGTGTGAGCCACCACATCCAGCTCTGTTTGTGTGATTCTAATCTGTCAATCATGGCCAAGAGGATAGGTGTATTCCCATTAAGACCACAGGAGCATATGAAACTCTGCAACCTCAATGTCTTTGTTAGTATAGGTTCAGGCTGGGCACAGTGGCCCACACCTGTAATCCCAGTGCCTTGGGAGGCTGAGGCTGGAGGACCACTTGAGGCCAGGAGTTTGAGACCAGCCTGGGCAACGTAGTGAGACCCCCTATCTACAAAAAAAAAAAATTGTTTTAACTAGCTGGGCATGGTGGCATGCACCTATGGTCCCAGCTACTAGGGTGGCTGAGGTGGGAGGATCACTTGATCCCAGGAGATTGAGGCTGCAGTGAGCTGTGATTGCACCACTACACTCGAGCCTGGGCAACAGAGCAAGACTGTCTCTCAAAAAATAGATAGATAGATGATAGATAAATTCAGATGCTAAAACAAAGAAACTCCCCCCACCACTGAATATACACATATACACACATCCAGTAACAGTGGCTCAAATAATCTAGGAATGTATTTCTTTTTCACGAAACACTCTGTGTATATGTCAAGAGCCGGTATGGCAGCTCCATGCAATCAAGAGTCTTATCACTCTGCATGTGTCTTGTTGTCCTCATCCATCTCATCCAGAATGGCTCACTACTAGTCCAGCCAATGAAAAGCAGTGGGGGAAAAATGGGGGCACAGCTCAGAAGCTACACACTGTCTACTTTGTCTCACATCCCACTGGCCAGAACTGAGTCATATGGCAATACCTGGCTGCAAGGGTGTCTGGGAAATGAAGTCTTTATGTAGGCAGCTAAATGTCTTGGCCAAAACTCTGTTGCTATTTTTTCCAATAGAAGACAGGTAAATGGGAATTTAAGGGATTAGCAATCTCCTCTACACCCCAACTCCAAACTACCCTTCTGTATGAACCCGTGCTGAACTTGGTCAACATTCTGCCTTTAGCCAGGAGCCTTGGACCACTGCAAAGTGCTCATCCTCCTGGCCCTGAGACCCAGAGCTAGGGCAGCCCCCTCCAGAGTATAAACCCCTGAGTCATCAGCCCAAGTGTGTTTGGTTCAGTGTGTTTGTGTGTTGTTGTGTTTGGGTTGTTCTAGAGCACAAAACCAGGGGCAGTTAACATTTGTTGTACACCTGCCACATGCCAGGAGCTTCCCTGATGTTTCCTTTCATCCTCACCGCTGCCCTGGGTGGCACACACTATGCCAGTTCTACAGATGAGGGCCTCGTGGCTCAGAGAGTCCAGTCATCTGTCCAGTGCCAGTAGCCACAAGCCTCAAAGCTGGATTGGGACCCATCTCTGTGTTATTCTGAAGACTTTGCTTTTAGCCCTTTCTGGAGAAGTTTCTTTACTTGAGGACTCACCACCACCCCCTTTCATTCCTGGATAGAAAAGATCCAGAAAAAACTATATCGAGAGAGTCCTGAGCCAAGCATGAGCCACACATGAGCAGCTCCTTCCTGCCCAGGCTCTTCTTGCAGGAAGGGTTGCAGCAGCCGGCAAACGCCTGTGTTCAATCTTCTGCAGGAGAGAATAGATCTGTCCTGGTGCCCAGCTCAGGAATCTCATCTGTAGCACTCTGCACGTGAGTGTAATAAGCTCTCATTTCTCCATAGGATCACCAAAAATGAGGCAGAGACCCCCTCCTCGCCGGGACATGACCATTGTAAGTCGACCCTCGCTACTGGGGAGTGGCCACTGACTTGAAGGCTGTGAAGGGTGTCCACCAGCCCTTCACACACCCCTCGCCCTTCCAGAAATGCTCTCTTGCCTGTCCACACAACAGCCTTGAGAAACAGCCTATATAAATGCTCGTCCCATTCTCAGGTGGAAAGACTGAGGGGTAGGCAGGTGAAATAGTTTGCCCACAGGGCCAGAGTGCTCTTGTGACAGTTGGGCCTTGGGACCTGCTTTCTGCTCCCTGAGCCCTTCTCTGGGTCTTAGATTGGTCTTCTCAGGTCAAGCAACTTGAGGCCCAAGCTGAGGTGAGACACAAATATCATCTGTGTTCATACTCCATCTGTGTCTGCGTTCATACTTCATTTTGGAAAATTCTAGGTACCTTTTTAGCCAGTACTTTGAAAGATGAGTTATTGGGTTTTGGGGGGTTTTTTGTTATTTTTTTTGAGATGGGGTTTGCGCTATCAGGGTTGTATTTTTTTTTAATGTCTGCCATTTCTCAAACACCTGTTGCGTGCCATGCAGTGTGCTGAGTGCCTCACATCATTAACTCATTTAATACTTGAACAACCTCACCAGGTAGACACTGTTATGCTCACTCTACAGGACAGAAAACAGGCTCTAGAAGGGGGTGATTTGCCCAAGGTCACTTCCACTGTCAGCATTTCCAGCCCAGATGGATCTAACCAACAAACCCAAGTTCCCTCCACAACCCTCACTGCCTCTTGTTTCAGAGAATATGGTCTTGCTCCAAATTCTCATGATTGTAACTACATGCCCCGTGTTTCTTCTCATCTCCCTAAAGCTGATGGGCCAGTGAGATCTTACCGGGGAAATGACAATCTGCGTGGTCCTATTTGTGGTGTCCCTTAGAATCCAACTAGGTCCCCAGCACCCTTGTGAGGATGATTGCATGCCCCAGGCCCTCAGTCTCCCCTGGCCTAGGGTCACGGGAGTGCACTTAGCATTGGAGATAACCCTGTCTGTGATCATACCAGCCTCGAGGCCTCAATCTGCCAAAGCCGCCCATCCCGCCTCAAGTAGAGGAAGAGTATTACACCATCGCCGAGTTCCAGACAACCATCCCAGATGGCATCAGCTTCCAGGCAGGCCTGAAGGTCGAGGTGAGTTGGACTGGTGTTCCTTTGCCTACTTGTGGTTCCTGATTCCAGGCATCACCTCCTCCTTCTCCCCTGTCACCTCCTACTTCACTGGGTGGGTGGAGATTAACAGTTTTATAGTTCACATACCATACAGTTTACCAATTTGAAGTGTAAAATTCAGTGGTTTATGATATTCACAGGGGTGCACAACCCTCACCACGATCTAATTCCAGAACAAAAAGAAACCCCTTACCCATCAACAGTCACCTTCTATTTCCCCTCAATCCTCCCTGCCAGCCCTAAGCAGCCACTAATCACTTCCTGTCTCCATAGAAGTGCCTGCTGTAGACATGCCACATAGATGAAATCCCACAGTATGTGGTCTTGTGTGACTGGCTGTGTGCCTTTCCTTACCACCTCCCACCTCCATTCTTGCTTCTCCTCTTTCCTTTTCTTCCCACTCCCTCTGCTTGCTGGCTTTATTCCCTGGATTCTCTTTCTGTGTTTTTCTTTCCTTTCTTCATGGGGTTGGAGCTTAAAGATAGTTCTTTCTCATATTTCCAAGAAAACCTGTAAGTAAGGGGACGGCAACAAGGGCCAGGGTTTGGAATCCTTTAGCAAAGATGGTTCTTGAGACAGTTTCAAAAGCAGGTGAGCCAATCACACGTATCACCAAGTCTACTCTGTCATGCGTAAGAGTTGGTCAGATTCTCCCCATTCCACCTTCGGAGGCAGAGGTTGAATTGATTCATCTCTCACCTCTTCTGTGTCAGGTGCCTTACCTCCTTGATAACTGATCTTCACAGAAGTCCCACGAAGTCAATACCAGCAGCATGGCATTGGTTCATTGGTTGGTTGGTTTTTCTTTTTTTTTCTGTCAGCATGTTTTATAGATGAGACTCAGAGGCATTAGGTAAATTAATTGCCTATAGTAACACAGCTAGTAAGCAATGGAGTTGGGATGTGAAGCCAAGTCTCTCTGTTGTTTTGTTTTGTTTTGTTTTCCTGCTCCCCCCTGGTCTCTCTGGTTTTAAAGCCCACTCTCTTTTCTTTTCCCTCATTCTTGTGATTTTTTTTTTTTTTTTTAGATGGAGTCTTGCTCTGTCGCCCAGGCTGAAGTGCCATGGCCCAATCTTGGCTCACTGCAACCTCCGCCTCCCAAGTTTAGATGATTCTCCTGCCTCAGCCTCCCAAGTAGCTGAGATTATAGGTGCCCACCATCACACCCAGCTAATTTTTTTTTTTTGTATTTTTAGTAGAGATGGGGTTTCATCATGTTGGCCAGGCTAGTCTCAAACTCCTGACCTCAGGTTATCTGTCTACCTCAGCCTCCCAAAGTGCTGGAATTACAGCCATGAGCCACCATGCCCGGCTTCTGATCTCTCATTTGCCTTTACTCATAGTAGCTTGTGGCCTCCCTCTAGTAAACCGAAACGCCCGTTTATCATGATTCAGAACACACATGTTCAGAGCTTCTACCACAATACTTTGCATGGAGTGTAAGCTTGACAAATCTACTGATACATCTAATATTGATTATCCTGTTTTCAGTTTCTCACAGAATTAAGTATTAATGTTGTATTTATGAATGGGCTGACAACAACTTGTATGCCTAGCATGGCCTGTAATTTTTACCAGAGCTATCAAGTGTTGATAAGATGCCAGTCTTCCTCACATAAAGAGCTTACATTTATCAGTGGCCTTTCCTGGAGATTCCAGTGGGACTCATTAAGTGCTGCCTGTCAAGTGCATCCCGCTGGCTCAGTAACCTTCGTTCAAATTTAATCACAGGAGCATTACCAAGTGCACAGCATTTATCAAGTGCTGTTGTATGTACTAGCGCTTGAGGCTCCAAAAATTCTATAAGTGGGTGTTAAATTGTTCTTATCATCTTCCTTCTGTGATGTGGAATCTGAGGCACATGGCTTGCCCCAGGCCTCTCAGGCAGTAAGCGGTAAAGCCAAGATTAGAACCCAGGACTGCAGGCCCAGAGCCCAGACTTTGCGTCCTGGCGCTAAGTCTGTGGCTGGCGTCCCTCTCCCAGAGCCATCTCTGCTCCTGCAATTTCTCACCCCAGACACAGCCCTTCTCCAAGCAGGTTCTCTTCTGAGAGGCGAGATTGGGTGACTCTGAAGCCCACCGCCCCGCCCCCGCCCCCCCGCCCCCCCCCCCCCCCCGCCCCCCCCGCCTTCGACTCTCCTCCGATCGCTGGACTTTCTACACAACCTGCTGTGTGTTCGTCAGCTCTCCTGAGGCTCAGTTCTGCATGTGTAAAGTGAGGTTACAGTCCCCAGCTGAGAGTGTCTTCCAAGTACAGAGACAGCCTACCAGGGAATTGCAGTGTGCATCTCTGCTGGCTGCATAAACAAATACCAGACTGGGTGACGTGGCTCAAACAACAGCAGTTTATTGTCTCACAGTTTGGGAAGCCAGAAGTTCAAGATCAAGGTGTCAGCAGGTTTCGTTTCTCCTGTGTCCTCTCTCCTTGGCTTCTATATGGACACCTGCCCACTCTTTCTCATGCGATCATCCCTCAGCCTCTGTGTGTTTTCTGATCTCCTCTTCTTATCTGGACATCGGTCATATTGAACTAAGGCCCATGTATTAGGCCATTCTTGGATTGCTATAAATACCTGAGACTGGGTAATTTATAAAGAAAAGAGGTTTACTTGACTCACAGTTTGGCATGCTGTACAGAAAGCATGGTGCCAGCATCTGCTTGGCTTCTGGGGAGGCTCAGGGAGCTTTTACTCATGGCAGAAGGCAAAGCAGGAGTAGGCATGTCACATAGCGAGAGTGGAGCAACAGAGAGTAGGAAGGAGACACCACACACGTTTTAAACAACCAGATCTCAAGAGACCTCATTACCAGGGGAAGGACACCAACCCATTCATGAGGGATCCGCCCCCATGACCCAAACACCTCCCACCAGCTCCTACCGCCAACAGTGGGGATTCCATTTCAACGTGAGACTTGGGTGGGGACATACATCCAAACTCTATCAGCCCACCTTAATGACCCATTTTAACTTTAATCACCTCTTTAAAGGCCCTGTTACCAAATACAGTCACATTTGGAGGTATTGGGGCTTAGGGCTTCAGCATATAAATTTGGGTAGGGGGACACAATTCGGCCCATAATAGCAAGCACACCTTTCGCCTGTGTAAATTCAGCCGTGCAGTGCTGGACAAGAAAGAGACAGAACAAGATCTTAAACATGGGTGATTCCACCCACCATTCCATCCAACAGGCGAGTATCCACAGAGAAGTAGAGACGAGATGAAATTCTATTCTACTCCACCAGCCCCATGTCCCTTGTTTATAAACAGGAGCATCTCTTCGAGCTGAATATAATTCCTGTGTTCAAAGACAGGTATTTTTCAGGCCAAGTGCAGTGGCTCACACCTGTAATCTCAGCACTTTGGGAGGTTGAGGCGGGCAGATCACTTAAGGCCAGGAGTTCGAGAGCAGCCTGACCAACATGGTGAAACCCTATCTCTACTAAAAATACAAAAATTAGCCACGTATGGTGGCACACACCTGTAATCCTAGCTACTTGGGAGACTAAGGCATGAGAATCTCTTGAACCTGGGAGGTGGAGGTTATAGTGAGCTGAGATCATGCCACTGCACTTCAGCCTGTGTGACAGAGCAAGACTCTGTCTCAAAAAAAAAAAAAGGTAGGTATTTTTCATATGTTGTGGCCTCTATAAACACTAGCTAACTTCTTCATCTGAGAAGCTAGTATCCAGGGTAGCTTTGGCTTTTGCGTTCTCTTTAGAATTATAACAGGCACTGCCGGTGCCCTGATCCACCTGAATTCACCTGTGCCTACACACAGGTCCCTGCAAGCTGACAGCTTCCCAGAAGGGGAGAGGAGTCAATGCCCTGGGTAGAGAGGGGCCGGGAGTTAACAGATAAATGCGCACCTCCCCAGAGGGACCATTCTGAGGCACTGACTTCGTCGTCTCTCTGAGGGTCCCCGGCAGATCAAACCCCATGGCCCAGATCAATAACTTGCTCATAATTGGCCTCCCTCCTTCCCTTCTTTCTCTCTCTACTTCCTTACTTGTATTTCTTAGGACCAACTCAAATTAAGTACCTATACCCGGCCAGGCGTGGTGGCTCACACCTGTAATCCCAGCACTTTGGGAGGCTGAGGCAGGCAGATCATGAGGTCAAGAGATTGAGAACATCCTGGACAACATGGTGAAACCTCGTCTCTACTAAAAATACTAAAATTAGCCGGGCGTGGTGGGGTGCACCTGTAGTCACAGCTAGCTACTCAGGAGGCTGAGACAGGAGAATTACTTGAACCGGGAGGCAGAGGTCACAGTGAGCCAAGATCATGCCATTGCACTCCAGCTTGGTGACAGAGCGAGACTCCATCTCACACACACACACACACACACACACACAAGCACCTATACCCCAGTCCACGTCTCATGGAATGCTTTAGGGGGAATTCAGTTAGACAAGAATCTACCCCCAGGTAAAATATTCCTAGAACATGGTAAGATCTCCATTGGTGGTCCCCTTGTACTTGCAGGAGGAGCTGCTAAGTACAAAGTGACAGCTTCTAGAGCTCCAGTTGGGTTCTCCCAAACCATCCCATCTGCTGGCTGTGGCATCGACCCAAGTGCCTTTCTCTATCCTCCCTTGCAGGTGATCGAGAAAAACTTGAGTGGCTGGTGGTACATTCAGATTGAAGATAAGGAAGGGTGGGCCCCGGCAACCTTCATTGACAAGTACAAGAAAACCAGCAATGCCTCGAGACCCAACTTTCTGGCTCCCCTGCCCCACGAGGTGACCCAGCTCCGGTCGGGGGATGCAGCAGCGCTAGAGAACAGCATGGGCAGTGAAGCCACGGGCCCCTCCCGGCCCCTGCCTGAGGCACCACATGGAGCCATGGACTCAGGGTTGCCATGGTCTAAAGACTGGAAGGGCGGTAAGGAGGTCCTGAGAAAGACATCTTCAGACATGTCTGCGTCAGCAGGCTATGAGGAGATTTCAGACCCCGACATGGAGGAGAAGCCCAGCCTCCCTCCACGGAAAGAATCCATCATCAAGTCGGAAGAGGAGCTGCTGGAGCGGGAGCGGCAGAAGACGCAGCAGCTCCGGGGCCCCGCCCCCAAGCCTCCGGGCATGATTTTGCCGATGGTTCCAGCCAAGCACACCCCTCCAGCCCGGGACAGTAGGAGGCCGGAGCCCAAACCTGACAAAAGCAAACTGCTCCAGCTGAAAAATGACATGGGGCTGGAGTGTGGCCACAAGGTCTTGGCCAAGGAAGTGAAGAAGCCCAACCTGCGACCTGTCTCCAAATCCAAAACTGACCTGCCGGAGGAGAAGCCAGAAGCTACTCCCCAGAATCCCTTCTTGAAGTCCAGACCTCAGGTTAGGCCAAAACCAGCTCCTTGCCCCAAAACAGAGCCACCTCAGGGTGAAGACCAAGTCGACATCTGCAACCTCAGGAGTAAGCTCAGGCCTGCCAAATCCCAGGACAAGTCACTGTTGGATGGGGAGAGCCCCCAGGCAGGAGGGGGTCAAGATGTGGCCTTCAGCCGAAGCTTCCTCCCAGGAGAGGGGCCCGGCCGAACCCAGGAAAGGACAGGCAAACCAGATGGGCTCAATCCAAAAGAGATGTCCTGCAGAGCCTTTCCAAGGCCAGCCAAGACCACCGATCCTGTGTCTAAGAGTGTGCCTGTTCCTCTCCAAGAGGCTCCCCAGCAGAGACCTGTGGTCCCACCCCGGAGACCACCCCCTCCGAAGAAAACCTCTTCGTCAGCCGGGCCTCTCCTAGAGATCAGAGGTCCACAGCGTGAAGCCCACGAAAGCAGGGCCGCTCCCACCCCAGGCCATGCTCTCCAAGTCCCTCCAAAAGCCAAACCTTTTCTCTCCAACTCTTTCGGGGGCGAGGATGATATTCGAAGCAAAGGCAGCCTGGGCCCACGGGGGACCGGCAAGATTGGAGAAAACTGGGAGAAAGCAGCTGTAGCCTCCGTCCCCAGTGCCGATGGCCTGAAGGACTCTTTGTATGTGGCCGTGGCCAGCTTTGAAGGAGACAAAGACACCAGCAGCTTCCAGGAAGGGACGGTGTTTGAAGTCCGGGAGAGGAATAGCAGTGGCTGGTGGTTCTGCCAGGTCCTGAGTGGAGCCCCTTCTTGGGAAGGGTGGATTCCTTCCAACTATCTTAGAAAGAAGCCGTAGCCAACTCCCTTTCTGCCTCGAGGGCCTGCTGGTCCTTGCTGGCTTTACCACATATTTAATACACCTCTTAATTTATCATTCTCCACGCAGCTTCCAAGGCAGACAGACTCTGGGATACCATGGCTTCTTGCCTCCCCTGGGCAGAGAGTTTCAGATTCCTCGAGTGCCCCTGGGTCTGATCCCTCCCATCACAGCATTCCTGGAGGCTCAGCAGCCACAGACCTTGCTTTGTGTCCATGTCAGCATCCCTGCCTTAAGAGAACTCCTGGCCAATGGCATTGCCACCCAGCAGTGGGACCAGGACTCTCCAAGGCCTCCAGGACTGGAGCCCATCACCTGGAGAAACTCCAGCAAGGGTCTCATGGCTTGGACATGGCACCGTGAGGGGCAGCCCACCCAATCCTTGATGACTTGCTCCAACTTCATGTTTCTAAAAGCCCAGAGGCTTTATTCACTCTCCCTAAAATCCCTGGTGCCAGCAAGACCGTTGTCCTGAAGAAGTCCATTCCATTGCCAGTCCCAGGGAAAGTGTCCTCCCCTTGGCCTCAGGCCTGTGCGCCTCTGAGGTTCCACTGGATGCAGCTCCCCCAGGAGTGGGTCTGAAAGTCCGCTTGGCAACCCTGCCTCCCACCTTCTCTATCTTGGGACCATGGTCAGCCCTGAAGGGTGGTTCCAGCCCCGCGCATGCCATACTTTCCTGCTGTAGGCTCCAGTCCCGCTGGGGCTTCTCAATAATAATTCCCTCCCCAGCTTCAAACATTTCATTTTTGCCTACCTAAAGCAAGAATCTCAAAGTCTGTTTGAGTAAGAGGCCCACTCACAAGTCGTGCCCTCGTGAGCACCCTTTTGCTGAGTGACTCGGTGGTGCCAACCACTGTACTTGGCACTTTGCATTCATGTTTTGACCCTCACAACCTCCCTTGTGATATTATATCCCCTTTATAGATAAGGAAACTCAGTCCATGTGAAAGGGACACACCAGCCAGGAAGAAGAGGGAAGATGATTTGAGTCCAGGCCTGCCTGACTTCAATACCTGTGCCTTCCCCTCTATAAAAGGCAAACCAGGCAGGAAAGAGATAGAAGCCGGCTAGGTGCCAGAGCAGGTGGCCAAGTGGCTTCATTGTGGTGGGGGTGAGGGGGCCTTCGTGGCTGCTCCCACACCCACCATCCCTCTGGCCCACAGCAGCTTATACCAAAGGCTGTCCTGGATTCAATAGCTGCGTCTTCATATCAGGAGAATGCCAGGGTCCTGGTGGTTGGCACAGAGCCCTGTTCCCTGCTTCTAAGCTGTTGCCCATGGGGAATAGAGCTGATGGAGCAATGGGAGCTGAGATGGCCTCACAGGCCGGCCTCGAGGGGCTAAGCATAGCATGCAGCAGTCCCATAAGGAGACAGGGCACCCAGGGCCAGGCAGAGCTGCTTCCTGCACCTCTCTGGCATTTGTCTTTTTTTTTTTTTCCTTTTTTCATGCACCTACAAGTCTGTTTTCTCCCTGGATGAAGCCCAGGGCAGATGTGGTCATCTATCAAACTGAGGCATGGAGAGGCATGGCTGAGTCACTGCAAAAACAAAATCAGGACCCAGCATTTCTAGCTTCCAGCCCAGAGTAAGAGCAGAGCAGAACTCCTTCCCATTCTACCCAACCGAGGTAGCCCTGCCTCACCCGAGATCTCCAGTTCACAGTGTTCATCTGCTGAGATACTTTTGGACCCACAAACCCAGTGTTTTGGGGGGATGCTCACTGTCTACGTGCAGTGCCAGAGGTTTTCTGGAACAGCCTTCTTCTGTCCCGCCACCCAGCTCTACCCCCTGCCACGTGGGCACTGGCTGCTTCTGCATGAGAAGGAGCTTCCTCTGCTCACCTGTAACATCTTTAGTCCCTTCCTCCAGTCGGCCTGCAAATTCCACTCCCCAGAGAGGCTTGGGCAGGGCCCTGAGGCATCTCTTGCAGGGCCCACTTGCCCCTGTGCCCAGAATCTTGGGGACAGATGGCAGCCAGGGGAAGAAGGGAGGCAGGGAAGGTCTGCCACCACTTGAGGGTCCCCCGCGAGAGGTGGCCCCATGGCAGCTTTCCTGAGTTCTTGATCCACTTTGGTTTAAACAACTTTTGTGACGCTATGTGGGATTTGACTACATTTTTTTTTTTTTTTCAGATAGGGTTTCACCCTGATGGCCAGGCTGGTCTTGAACTCCTGTCTACATTTCAAAAGGCAAAACTCACGGTTGTTTTTTTTGTTGTTGTTTTTTTTTTTCTGATTTGCTCTTTGGCTTTCAGTGACATTTTCAGGTATTTTGTGAGTGCCTACCATGTGCTAGGCACTGAGTAGACAGATGTGTGTGGCTCCATCCCTAGCTGGAAGAGCTTTGAGTTCTGTCTGCTGACTTCACTGAAGGAGTTTCTCTCTTGCCTCATTCCTTCCTCCCAGGGGTCAGCTGGGTAGAAACAGACTTGCCCCACCTTCCTCTGGGCAGAACGTGTTCCTGCAAATGAAAGAATCTGCCTTTCTTTTTTGCTATGATGATAACTATTACTGTGACATGAACTGTAGGTACTGAAGCCACATTCCTCTCTGTTCACTGTGCTCTTGGCGGGTCCTGTCTATGTCCTGAGGACATCTGTGTCCAGCTCCTTTTCCTACAGTGCTAGACACTTCCCCAGGGAGTGGCAGTGGGTTGGTCTGGATGGCCAGTCACTCTCCTCGCTTTCCTCACCTGGGACTTAGGTTTACCCCATCCAGGACTGTGGTCGCTATTCTTTGAACAACTGACAGGACATACGCAGAACTCTCCTGGGGTCATGGCTCTAGAAGGTGTCCAGGCCCATCGTGACAGCTGTGCCAAGCACCGGGCCGGTGACCAGTGCCCAAACACACTCCTTCCTTTAATCCTTGCAGCAATCCTGTGAGGCGGATAGGACCAGCCCTGATCTATAGTGAGAAAATTAAGGTTCAGAGAGAGAGGTCACATGGCCCAGCCTTGTCCAAATAGTGGCCAAGCTGGGACTCAGATCTAGGGTTTGGGTTTCTTTATCCTTTGCCCACGACTTTTCCTCTGCCATTCGCAGGGAAATGTGCGTAGGGCTTCCAGGGAATCAAGTGACCCTCCCTCTGAATTTTGGTGTCTGTTCCCTCCACCTCTTGGTCACACATTTCAGTAGGTCACAGGCCAAATGGCAGCCCAAAAGGTGGGCAAATATTTTTTTTTCCTTCCCTTCACCCCTGCTTACCACCACAATTGTGATGACAATCTACCTTACATCGAAGGGCAAAGGGACAGCTGGTGGTACCTCCAAAAATTTGGAAAATCTGAGTCTTAGGACCACCTCTCGATAAAAGAAGCCTTTGCTCACGTTTCTTTGCTCAGAATCTTTCTTTACCATTTGGTGGTGTATATCCTTGTCTCGGCTGAGACTTGGGAGAGCCGAGCTCCAGCTTAAACCGCTTTTAATGGCCCTTCCCTATCTGGGGACTGTCAGAGCCCATGCCAGGTTACAGTAGTCATTTTAAACCTCTACCAGAGAATCCATTTCCAAGGCAATGTTCTTGGCCTTAAAATATTTGTGCCTGCTGGGGATTTTATTACCAGGTAGAAAATGGGGGAACACCTGTGCCACATTAAAAAGCAGGTGCTGAGTATGCCAGGACTTGGGAAGGACCTTAGGCTGAGGAGTGGACAGTCTGGTATTTAGCCTCTCCCAGGTACCCCTCACAGAGTGGGAAAAAGAAGAAACTGCTCCTGCCTTCCAATAGCTGGCAACTTGGCATCAAGAAAAAAAACATTAGACCGGGTGTGGTGCCTCATGCCTGTAATCCCAGCACTTTAAGAGGCCAAGGCGGTTGGATCACCTGAAGTCAGGAGTTCGAGGCCAGCCTGACCAACATGGAGAAACCTCATCTCTACTTAAAATACAAAATTAGCTCAGTGTGGTGGCGCATGCCTGTAATCACTGCTACTTGGGAGGGTGAGGCAGGAGAATCACTTGAACCCGGGAGGCAGAGGTTGCAGTGAGCCGAGATCGCACCATTGCACTCCAGCCTGGGCAACAAGAGTGAAACTCCGTCTCAAAAAAAGAAAAAAAAAAAAAATTGTAGCTGGGCTCCTGTCCTTTCATTGTGCCCAGGTGTCTTACATGTTGGGTTAAGCTGCCCCCATGGAGGCCGTACCCTTCTCTTTGGACTGTGACAATGGACACCAAACAGCCTGAACCATGCGTGGCAGTCTTATCCCCCAAGGGTTGTCCAGGCCCAATGTGCAGGGCTTTTGTATAGACTGCAGACAGCCATACCTCACCACAGACCAAAGATGACCTCGTGTCAGACTGTGGGCTGATGAGAGGTAGAGCAGCATGCATGGAGGCCTGAGGGTGCAGGGCACCCTCCCTTGGCCTGGAGGAATTGCTCCTAACTAGAATAAGTTTCCACGAGGGTCCCAGGCAGAACCGCTGAGCTAGCCCTGGAGGCTCCACAGTCCTTGCCAGCTCATAAACCTCCTTCAGAGCACCTTTCTACAGAACGGACTGCCCAGCTCCGTAGGGTGACGTCTGGTTTCTGGTGCTATCCTGCCACGTTATCGAGCTCCTCTTCGTGTTTCAACATTCCATCTTCCCGTTTCTATCCTTGACTCCAAAGTAAGCCTTTTTAGCTGCAATCAGGGATGAGGGGCTCGAACTCTTTTGTCCTCAGAGAGGCCAACCACAGTGCCACAGCCAGTAGCCTTCACTTTCAGATGTCCTATTCATGTAAAAAAGAATATGCCCCACCAGGCTTACATCAGCAATAAGCAATTCCAATGTAACAGTGGTGTCCATATTTTACCCCAGCGTGTGCCCTTGTATGCCTTTGTGCCCGTGTAATTGTTGTTAGCACTCCTTTTACTTAGAGGGGTGATGATAAACTATGGTCACCTAGACTACAACCCATATTTCCTGCTTTGGGGAGCTTCCAAGTAACAGGTCATTTCTTATCTCCCTCTGGGAACAGTGGGCACTGCCCACCACCCGTGTCTGCTCATAGGATGACGCTGGAGACCCCCGTGCTCTACCCTCTTGGCAAATTGGCATTCTGGTGGTGGCTTTTGTTTCCTTTAACACTTTAAATAAACGATACATAGGATATGAGGGGAGGGGTGAGAACAACTAGCTGTAGCATGTATAGGCTATATACTTTACCATTAGACTTTTTTTCCCTTTTTTTTTTTAAATAAAAGTGCTTGACTGGTTTCAAGCTTCATCGAGAAGATGCAGTGTCTGTGGATTTTGTTTAGCAAGAGAAAGTGTACATAGCTTTGCGCCCTGGGGTCTTTGGGATCCAGGAACAGAAACGTATGCCAACTGTGTCTGAGCACTGCCAAGAAATAAAAGTGACCCCTCTCTGGGCCATAGTGCACCTTCATTCTGTTATCTACAGTGTCCTCAAACCAGGACTCAAACCAAGCTTTCCCCAAAGCTTCCTTTATGTCCAAAGAATGGTGAACCTCTTGCTGCCATTGCCTCCTGATGATCGGGAGTGTTCAGTAGGGGACCAGGCACGATAGCTCACACCCGTAATCCCAGCACTTTTGGAGACCAAGGCAGGCGGATCATCTGAGGTCAGGAGTTTGAGACCAGCCTGGCCAACATGGCAAAACCCATCTCTACTAAAAGTACAAAAATTAGCCGGGCATAGTGATGGGTGCCTGTAACCCCAGCTACTCCCCAGGCTGAGGCAGGACAGTCGTTTGAATCCCAGAGGCAGAGGTTACAGTGAGCCAAGATCACGCCACTGCACTCCAGTCTGGGTGACAGAGCAAGACTAGTCTTAAAAAAAAAAAAATACTAAGTGGAGGTTGGGAGTGGGGGGGGTGGGAAATGCCGCCACATTCGGGCCACAGGACTTCCCAAGCCATCTGGGAGGCAGTGCCAAGGCAAGATCAACCCCAGTGTGGAGTCCCCTTGGTCCCAGATGACTAACAGGACACCATCACCCCACCTTTCTAAGGAAAGAAGAAAACCAGCAGAGTTACTGAACGAAAGAACTTGGAGGGAAGGGATTTACATGCAATATTCATCCTTGCTTAGAGGAAACAATATAATGACCTTCCAGCAGAACTTGCATAGGAATAATGTTTATTAATATATTAAAAATATGTTAATCTGTGTTCCTATTAGTAAGAAAAAGTCAGAGGATGTGGTGTTTCACACCTGTAATCCCAGCACTTTGGGAGGCCAAGGCGGGAGGATCTTTTGAACCCAGGAGTTTGAGACCAGCCTGGGCAACATAGCAAGACTTTTCTTCTACTTAAAGTAAAAAAAAAAATGTAGCCAGTTGTGGTGGTGCACACCTGCAGTCCAGCAACTTGGGAGGCTGAAGTGGGAGGATTGCTTGAGCCCAGGAGTTCAAGGCTGTAGTGAGCTGTGATCACACCACTACACTCCAGCCTGGATGACAGAGCAAGTCTGTGTCTCAGAAAAAAAAGAAGGAAAAAGTCATGTGTTCCAAGCCCCCATGAGAGCAGATTTACCCAAGTTCTTCCAAACCAAGAGTGCTTAATGATAACAGGACTGGCAATGGTATGGGCTTTCCAGCTGGGTTTGAAGGGGCATCAGCCTCCTGGGATGGGATGGCAACGGGACTATGATCAGGAACCCAACCTGGCTTTCTCTTTGCAGGCTACATGCTCTCTCACTACATTTCTGCCCCACGACCTTCCTTCAGGTCTCACTTGGAAGTGTCACACTCACCTTTCCCTGTCATACTGTTTTTTGTTTTGGTTTGGTTTGGTTTGGTTTGGTTGGTTTTTTGGGAGGGAGTTTTACTCTTGTCATCCAGTCTGGAGTGCAATGGTGCAATCTTGGCTCATTGCAACCTCTGCCTTCCAGGCTCAAGCGATTCTTGTGCCTCAGCCTCCCAAGTAGCTGGGATTACAGGCATGTACCACCAGCTAATTTTTGTATTTTTAGTAGAGTCGGGTTTCACCATATTGGCCAGGCTGGTCTTAAACTCCTGACCTCAGGTGATCCACCCACCTTGGCCTCCCAAAGTGCTGGGATTACAGGCATAAGGCACCATGCCCAGCCCTGTCACACTGCTTTAGCCATGCTAAACATGACCCAGCTATCTCACCCTCAGGTACCTGCAAACAGTCCCTCCTCTAAGGTGAGTTTCTGGGTCCAAGAGTCCCATCATGGGGACACGCTTCTCCAGGTCCTTGGTCTTCATCGTCCAAGTATCATTTGGTCCACGTGGGATTCTTCATCATCTTGCAACTCATGCTTCCCAATCAATGGTTCTCAAAATTAATGACCTTAATGATTCACCAGGGAGCTTGTTAAAAGACAGATTTCTCAGCTTCACTCCCTCAAAGTCTAACTCAGCAGGAATCAATATCCTGAAAAATCTATTCTAAGGAAATAATCCACATGCTCCATCCTGAGAAATGGCTGGGTTTTGCACCTTACCTGGTATAGTCTACATGTTCAAAAATGATACTCTGGTACTGATTTCCAGGGCTGTAAGGCATTTTATATACACTGTTTCTTGTCTTTCCTTTCTTTTTTTTTCTTTTTGAGACAGGATCTCTCTGTGTTGCTCAGGCTAGAGTGCAGTGGTGAGACCTCAGCCCACAGCAACCTCCACCTCCTAAATTCAAGTGATTCTCCTGCCTAAGCCTCCCAAGTAGCTGGAATTACCATCAGCCTCCCAAGTAGCTGGGATTACCAGGGTGCAGCACCACACCTGGCTAGTTTTCGTATTTGCAGTAGAGACGGGGTTTCACCATGTTGGCCAAGTTGGTCGAACTCCTGACCTCAAGTAATATGCCTGTGTCAACCTCCCAAAGTGCTGTACACTATTTTATTCCATCCTCAAAATGCAAAATGTGAAGTAGAGATCAGTGTTTTACATATGAAGGCACTACATTTTGGAAAGATAAAGGTGCTGGACACAGGCTCGCATAGCTAGTGTTTGGTGTATCTGGTACTAAAGCTGGTCCTTTCATGGCAGCTATGTCCCCTCCCCAATGTTAATCAAAGCGCATCTTTCATCCTGATAAAACTACTTCGTGGGATTCCAAATCTTCAAGAAATATTTTCTGTTCCCCAAACTTAGCTCTGTAATTAAGAAAAAGGTCTAACTTTTTTTGAGACAAGAGTCTTGCTCTGTCGCCCGGGCTGGAGTGCAGTGATGCAATCTCGGCTCACTGCAGCCTCTGCCTCCCAGGTTTAAGCAAGTCTCCTGCCTCAGCCTCCCAAGTAGCTGGGATTGCAGGCGTGTGTGCCACCATGCCCAGTTAATTTTTGCCTTTCTAGTGGAGACAGGGTTTCACCATGTTGGCCAGACTGGTCATGAACTCTGGTCTTCAAGTGATTCTCCTACTTGGCCTCCCAAAGTGCTGGGATTGCAGGTGTAAGCCACCACACCCAGCCAGGATCTAACGTTTATTGAGTACATGCTATTAGTTGAGAAGTTTATAGCTGTTATCTCTTTTTCATCTTCACTACAGTTCTTACAGATAGGAAGTATTATATCCATGTTAAGAGTGAGGAAATTAACAGTCTGAGAGATTAATTTACCCATGGTCACAGTTAGTAAGAGGATGAACTTGGACATCTGAACCCAAAGCCCCTTACCATAACAGTCCCCAAATCTATACTCTTCCCACTTAGCATTTCCCCAAGTGTTTTCCACTGCAAATGTCAGTAGGAATTTGGAAATAAGTGTTCTGTGGATACGTTAGTTCGAGAACTACTGTGTTAAATAAAGCCTATTGCAGGACTTTCTTATGCAAGCGTATCAGCTTCTTACGTAAGACTGTGCAATGTGAATGTCTGAGAGGGGGTTTATTTATATTGGGTTTCTCAAATGTATTTGATGGTGATACCATTCGCAGAGCATCTATCAGGAGCACTTTCACATAATAAACTGAAAAATGTCAAATTTTAAATTTCAGCTCTGCTTTGCATTCTACCTGAACCATAACACCTGTAACTTTAGCCACGTCCTTCACCCAAATTCTGTTTGTAACTCACTGCAACAGAGAGCTGCTCATCAACTTTAGGGTTTCCTATTTGCTATTTGTCTACCTTGGAGTTGTCTGAAAGGATTTTCCCATACAAACTGAGTATTTTTTTTTTTTTTTTTTTGAGACGGAGTCTTGCTCCGTCACCAGGCTGCAGTGCAGTGGCATAATCTCGGCTCACTGCAACCTCCACCTCCTGGATTCAAGTGATTCTTCCACCTCAGCCTCCTAAGTAGCTGGGACCACAGACACATGCCACCATGCCCAGCTAATTTTTGTATTTTTAGCAGAGATGGGGTTTCACCATGTTGGCCAGGGTGGTCTCAATCTCTTGACCTTGTGATCCGCCCACCTCGGCTTCCCAAAATGCTGGGATTACAGGTGTGAGCCACCGCGCCCAGCCATACAAATTGAGTAATTCAAAACCCAAAATTGAAATACTCCAAAATCAGAAGCAATGACCTGATGTTCGCAGGAAATGCTCATTGAAGCATTCAGATTACAGATTTTTGCATTAGGCACACTCACCCAGTGTGTATATTCTGCAAGTATTCTGAAATCTGAAAAAAAAATTGATATCCAGAACACTTCTCATCCTAAGCATTTTTGGATAAGGAATACTCAACTTGTAGTGAGATTGCCACATATAGGAAACTTCAGAAAATAGCCACCAGGTAGGGAATGTTTCTACCTCCTAAACACGTTTTCCTTTAGAGACTTGCAAAATGATGGCAGTGTACAGAAGATACATATTCTATTAATAAGCCCACGTTCGTCTCCTATTAAGATCCAGGAGGCCCAGATGCTATAATAAACTATGTCCTTATTCCCTTTCAGCTGCATGGAACCCGGCCTTCGATACTTCTACATTGCAGTATAGAATAGTGGACTTCAGTTTTCATTGCATACACCTCAGTAAAAATGTTAACATGTGGCTGGGCGCAGTGGCTCATGCCTGTAATCCCAGAACTTTGGGAGACTGAGGTGATCGGAACACTTGAGGTCAGAAGTTTGCAATTAGCTTCGCCAACATAATGAAACTTCATCTCTACTAAAAATACAAAAACATTAGCCAGGTGTGGTGGTGCATGCCTGTAGTCCCAGCTACTCAGGAGGCTGAGGCAGGAGAATCATTTGAACCGGGGAGATGGAGGTTGCAGTGGGCCAAGACAGCACCACTGCATTCCAGTGTGGATGACAGAGCAAGACCCCATCTTAAAAATAATTTATACATATATATA